GAATTATACTACTAGGCTATAGAACTACCTTTCTACACTTAATAGAATCTTAAAAGATCTAGGGAAATGTATATAGTCTATTCTATCCTAAGTAGGAGTGTTAGAAAGTGTAGTTATAGAATAGCTGTACATCTAACATAATAGAGAGCTAAGTGGCCACAAGGTCACATAACTCTATATAGGGTAAAATCTCTTCTTAGGAGATAGAGACACATCTCTAGATAATTAACTTAATTAACATATTAGTTCCTACTTTTAAGTACTGCCTGTCGGAGACAGTAAGCTAGTTAAAGATTAAGTTACTCTTGTACTCCACCTCTAAAATTCCGCGAACCTCCGACTAATATTTAACAATTAACACATTAGTTCCTACTTTTAAGTACTGCCTATCGGAGATAGTAAGCTAGTTAAAGAACAAGATACTCTTATACTCCACCCCTAAAATTCTACGAACCTCCGACTAATATTTAATAGCTATCGATATAAGGATTATTCGCTAGAACAAATTATCCTTATTTATTCCCGCTATAGACCTAACGTATTACTCTCTATAGAATCGACGATTTTCGGCCTACTAGATTCCTAACTACTAGTAGAGTAGCCTATTAATTAAGCGAGGGAGTAGTTAAGGGCGCTACTCTTACCGATACTTCCTTATATCGATAGCTCTAGGAGTAAGGGCGTGTAAAATTAAAGGTTACCGCCCTACCTAAAAAGGTAATAGTCTTATATTTCCGTAGTAGGATTCTATAATACCGATAGATAGTAAGATAAAAGAAGACATTATTCGATAAGACATTCGACTATCCGTACTTAACTCTCTATTAGGCTACTACTTTTTTATACTTATAACGACCGCTTCGTAAGCGTTACCGTCGATTTACTATATAAAGAGGCGGTAATCTTTAATTTCGGCGGCCCTTAGAGGGTAAGGTACCTCTCTAGTTAAATGCCCTTAACTATTTTAAGGAACTATTAAGGCAACGAGTTAGCTAAACTCTTATTAACAGAGCTGTCGATATAATGATTATTTACTAGGACAAGGCATCCTTAGTTATGTCTATAGTGTCCTAAGGCCTCGTTCTCTATAGGCTCGATAATTTAAAGCCTGTTAGTATCCCTACTACTAGCAGAGTAGCCGTTAACAAATCGAGAGAGCAGTTCGGAGCGCTGCTCTTGTTAAGGATTTCTCATATCGACAGCTCTGCTCATTAATACGAAGTGCGGAAATGAGATGGATTTTTGGTGCGCAATCATTTCTTTCCTCTCAATTTAACTAAACACAATCATTGTTTCCCCATTCCCGCATCGTTTTATTACMGTTCCATTCCTGCATCCCCGTCCCAGCATCATTCCATCGTCTCATATAGCAAAGCAATCACTCCCAATCAACCACAGCGCCAAATCCCCGCAGTCCCCGAAATTCACGCAGCAATCTTCCTCCTCAATCAAGCTCATACCTTCAAATGCGGGCTGGAGTCTGTTGCTGATCAAGTCCATCCCAGTCGTTGACCCACGGCCTCGCCAAGAGACGCGCTCTACCCTCCGCCGTCATCTTCTCCGCTCGCTCATACCGGTCGCCCCAATTACTCACACTCCACTTCCACTGACCCTCCTGGTCCTGTGGCTCCCGCAACGGATCCGGGACTTGCATCGGCACCTCACCACTGAACCACACCATGGGCGGCCCGAAAGGACACCTCTGACATTTGGGATACTCCTCTCGTAGCTCCTTCGCTGTACTGGCGAGCATTCCAATCGTGACCCCAAGATTGCGTGTCAATACGCGCACATCTGGAGCTTCGGGTGAGATTTTCGAACACCTCTCACACCACATCCTCACCTTCATACTTCGCGGAGCTGGACTGCTGATGGCCATGGATTGAATTCGAGAGCCGAAATCCAGAGAATCTTCAGGCGTGAAGTAGATGTTGATGAAGACGGTTTTGTCGCGAGTAGTCAGGTCCATGGCGCTGTGGTAGAAATATCGAGCGTCGGGATTGTCATTGGTGATGAGGTCCTGGTGGGTGTGTGTGTGCTCAGGGTTATAGCAAGGAAAACTCTCTCTCATCAATCCCCCTCCCGGTAAGACGAAGCGAAAGACTTTGTCACATTCTCTCGCAAGCTGATGGTTAAATTGCAACGGCGCGTCCGCGTTTGACCATGGGGAGTAATAGAATGACCCAGCAAGTCCCACTCCCAACCCAAGATATCTCTTCAACTTACCGGATGCAAGAATCGTATCTTTCCAATCACGCTTTACGCGCATGGTATCGAGGATAGTCTGGGTGCTCACACCCGAGAGTAGAATCCCCTCCAAAAGCCCAGGGGTGGAGAATACCTTCAGTGCTTTYACCGCCGAAGCCGCAGTGCCGGGGCGTGCAAATGGGGGGGAGATCATGCAGACGTCGCGCAACTTCACATTTCATACTTACAGTGTTATTGTGGGCTCTGCGCAGCTCCTCTGCGATTCTGTGGCCCGTGACGGAGTGAGGATTCGTGCGATGCATTTGTCTGAAGAGGTCGCGCTCCGTCCATTCGCGGTGGTGGAGCTCTTGGGTTGCTGTTGAGTGGTAGAGTCTTGCCATGTGGAGGAGGGATTGGCAGCATGCGCAATTGGGGTCGTGGGTGGTGTGGTCGCAGGTCTTGCGTATTAGCGGCCAGGTGCGTAGCGCGGCCCAGGTCGTCATTGTTGCGGTGGTGCGGCGTCGTTGGTGGTGGGGAGTGATGTTGAGGGGTGGAATTCAAATTTTCGAAGGGGGAAGGGAGGGGGGAAGAATTTGCTGGTGCGGTTCTGAGCTCCCAAGACTGCGGGGTCACTTTTTCGCGCTAATGACGCGATTCGAGTGAATGAAATGGCCTCACCCCCCGCGACTCGAATTGTCGTCGTAACATTCAAAAATATTATCAAAAGAGATGCATCGACCTCTCTGATTCAAGAAGAGCCTCGAGCTCATCAAGTGTGCAGCAATGGAAAAAGCTGTCATCTCGTTATTGGTCCTAGCGGCTTGCCCCTGAGGCAATTCTTCTTGCGCCTTCCGCCTGTCCAAATCTCGACTTCGCATTACCGCCATTAAAAGAGGAACCTTCCTTCCAAAAACCCCACCTTCGATTGTTCCCATTCTTCCGCGCGCAAACAGCCCCGCATTTTTTGTTGTCACGACTCGTGTCACCCTCCCTCCCTCCCTGCTTATAGAACTAAGAAAAGCAACACCTTTGCCGAGACTAGATTGGCTGATAACCATCAGTAGATCTCACCAGTATGCATCTCCCAAAGATGGAGGTATCTCTTGTTAATAGCTCATATGGAAAAATTAGCGCCCACCCACAGGTGGACGTCACGCCGGCCGAGGCGATCGCAGTCTCATTCTCAAACACAACGAAACGCTCAACAAGCTTTTACAACATCAAGCAGTCTTCTCGGAGAKCCTCAAAAAGCTTCCCATCTCATCCCAATGAGTCTCGAGCCGCGCATGAATGTCATTTCGGACTCAACTGCGGCAGTAAAAACGCAATGGCGGCTCTTGAAAATGAGTAATTCAACAACGTCTACATTACCACTTCTTAGCCCACGCCATCCAAATCCAATTCTCCTTCGCTTCCCTTTCGACATCGATCCAGATCCTTCATCAATCGATGGGGATAGAGAAAGATTACCAAACCTTGCGAAAGCCGACAAGTAGGTACGCTGGCATTGCATGGTGCTTTAGGGAGTTCCATTGCTTTGGCATAATTGTTCTTTCTATTTAGGTGTGGTATCGAATAGATATTCCCAGAGAGTCTCTATGTGATGTGTTCGATTGGTGGCTTGGAGAATAAGGGCAGCGTAAACACACCATTGCTCTGAGATTTGGTCTGTGCAAGAGTGATTCTAGCTTTTGGAGGAAGGCTTTATTGACGGACATTTGGATGAGCTCTATGGTGGTCGAGTTTTACGGGAAATGGGTGCAGCTCAAGTCTCGTAAGGTTGCATGTTCACTCCAGTTAGGAGTAGATCTGGAGGTATAGATGGCGTCATTGGCAAGGCTGAGTGGCATCGTGAGCACGCAACAAGCACCGCCGGTTGGGAATTCTTCGGAAGCTTGTCTGAGCCATTAAGACTCATCAGACCCGCAGTATCTGCAGGTGATGACCCAATGCTGGCATGTGTGTTTTTAGAATCCTGTGACAATTTTCCACGGAGTGGAGAGATTCCAAACTCAATTACACGCGAGTTCATCATAGGGCCGGTTAGGACGGAGCACTGAGTCACTTCGCAATTGCTGCGGAAATATTGCATGTATGGGTTGTATTCGTGTTGATGTGCCTACCTGTCATAGACGATGGAAATAGGAATAAGGTAGCTTACAATAAACTTCTTGAGACAAGAAGAGGGTAATTGCTTGAAGAAAGTTCCAAACCTGCGATTTTGCGGGACCAAAGTTAGGAAAGCCGATGAGGTGGGAAGAAATCGCATCATGGCCAATGCGGCGAAGAATCCAATTGTTAAAGTCGAGGAGATTGTCGAGACTGAAGATCTTTTGCCAGAATGTATAAATCTGCCTTGGTTGGAATGTCAACAGACTGACTATTCAAGGGAGAGAAATGGGGTAAAGTTGAGGTATTGAAATTCGATGAGAGTGATAATAGAAAGAATGAAAGGAGCGTTAGTACACAGAGAGCTGCAGAGGAGTTTATACCAAGAAGTTCGTGTCATCTCGATGTTGATACGCCTTGGCTGACATCTGATTATGCGGCCAAGGATGGCCGCCATATCTATATCCATCCAGTCTGAGAATGGTGTGGTTGGCGTAGGCGGATATACCAATGAAGGAGAAGAGTCGAGTGATTCTAATTAAGGCTGGTATGTCAATCGCAGATCAAGGTGCTCGTAGCCAATTTTGCTGACGCTCTCTCTCTCAGAAAAAGGAACTATTCTCCCCATCCCCTGCGCCAGCAGTTCCGGCTCCAACAACTCCTTCGGCCAGATCCCAGATAAGATAATGGAGGAATCAGGAACCTTGTCGCAAAGCCAGAAGAGACCATCGTACAGACTCACTGGAACGCGACAAGCACAGCAACCCCAAAAAATCAAAGCCCAGTGCAATCTACCATACCATTGACAGACGCACGATGCGTGCATACTATTATCATGGAGCTGGAATATATATTTTGATCTCGATCATGAGAAGGGTTTGACTTTGGAGGATCACAATCCTGATTGATACCAGTGTTGATGAGATCAGGAAGAAGAACGGTTGTGATTTCCAAGGTTGCGGGTGGATGGGATCCTTGGGAGGTGTGATCGGTTGTGGATGTAGTGTTTGACTACATGTGATGAACCGCGCCTGATGGATGACCCTTCAAACAGAGACTCGATGCAGTCAGTCTGTCTAGCTCTGACTMGGCACAGCAGCTCTTCAATCTTCTCCTGTTCATCGATGGAGTCTGATCCGCCGATTTCCTCTCAAGGGCAGTGATATAGAGATTGATTCGTTCCCTGTGTGTTGCAATGATAGATCCTGTGCCTTCTACTCGTTGCTGTCTTGTGTGTGGTGGGATTCCTCCACATTCGGCTGGCATCCTTGAACAATGCCCGTGCTCAACCCACTCATGGCTACATTGAAGACAACGAGACTTTTTGTAAGGCTATGATCTGACATGGCCGTTGGCGATGGCCGGAGTGCCTGTTTTTGCCCGTTGGTCTGCTTGGCCTTTGTATCCTCACTCTCTCTAAATTCTCAGACCCATGGTTCGTCGTTGTCTATGATGAGACTTGCGGTGATCGTGGGATTATTACGCTTTAAAGGCCTCGTATCGCGCCCTCATACCTTCCGTGGCATCGATTTGTCCCTACTTCATCTCGGCGCCTTGGTCCACAATCTCCTCGGCCTGCTCCTTCACCTCTGCCCTCTTCTCTTTTGGTGATTTCGCCTCCTGAATCAACCTCTGCAAAGACTTGACCATACGCTCCCTCTCACCACCCTCTGCGTCCGCACTTCCCGCCCATCGAATCTTGCAATCTTCATCCACAAGATAGACATACCCGACCTTATCATTCAACAATCCAATGGCCTCTTTCATGACATCGCTGACCCCTCTCCGTACCATGAAATATCGCCTATGCTCCTCCTCGCTCAGGCTCTTTCTCAGATTATTCCGGAAAGTCTGCAGTAGCCACCACTTGATCCAGTTGTCCTCCATATTAATCCACACTCTCTGCGCGACATCTTTATTCCTCTGCATAACCTCCTGCAACTCCGGATTCTGCTGGGGAGAAGTGAAAGTATCGACCTGAGCCTTGGCCCACATACTGCTCACAATAGAAACCACGCTGACTTTCCCTTTCATCGCATCCACCGTATCCCTCCCCAACCCTCGATATCCATCCTTACGATCGATCCTCTCCAATCCCTTTGCCAAAGTCTTCCCATAGAAATTAGGAAACCACAAACTCGCATCAGCGCGGAACAACCTCTCATTACTTTTGAAGATTTTGCCCTTGGAAAAGCGCAAATTACTCCAATCGCGAAAATAAGGTTTGGAAATCTGCTTGGTCATCCGAGAGCGTTTGGCCAAATGCTTGTCGTAATTGACAAAGTCGTCGCGGCGTTGCGATAGAGTCCTGGTGTCGAGGCCGCGATTCGTACCGGCTTCGGGGGGATTGGGCATGCCGATGGGGCGGGAGAGAGGTTGGGGGATAAAGTCATCGTCGCCTTGACTTCGTTTGAGAAAGCCGGGTTGGGTGTCGATTTTTTGGCGGAGAGCGGGTGCTGAGGGCGCGTCGTGGGCTCGGGGAGGCGGCGGTGGTGGTGGTGGAGATGGAGTGGAGGTGGGTTTTGATGGGAGGGAGGCGTAACATCTACGGCTGGGATGGATGAGGAGCCGCATTGCCCGCAGGCAGAGAGGTGATGGAGCTTGCATTGTGATCTTGAGGTGTTGATGGTTTGGGTCTGTCGAGCTACATAAGGTATGCTATGTTGGAGCTATTCTTTTTTAAGGTTCTCGGAGAAGCCCCACTTTCGCCGAAGTGAATCTCAATCTCAATCTCATTGCCCTGCCCGATGATCCTCCCTCTTCTTTCAGGTACACTATTTGGAAGTCACGGTGTTTCTTGACCTTTCCATTCTCAGAGACAAGATGAGTCCTGCTCCACGATGATGCTCTCAAGATATCGAGCCATCAGGCCTCGGCCTTTCTCGATAAAGACGAGTGGAATGCGCAGAGAGGACACCTTCATACCGCGGCGGTATAGTGATTCTGGCTGGATTTCAAACTACATGTTTGGATAGTCTGCTGTGGCGGCCATGCTTCTAGCTCGAAAATGGAAAGATCAGGTGGTTGGCTGTGCCTTTTCGATGAGTATGGAAACAGCACACGTGATGGTGAAAAGATCATTGTTGAGCGACGTCTTAATGGGATCTCAACCCACGCCTCCGGCCGTACAATCTGGCTGCATTTCAATTTGCAAAACGATAGACTGGAAGAAAAAGACATCTGCCAATACAAGCTAGGAACCACTAGAAACAAACAGATCCAGGTATGAAGGTCTACGGGCGGCCCTGCATCAGCTTTGGTGTAAGTCAAGATTTGCTAATAACAGTCTACCGCTCATGTCGCTCAAAATCTTCTCATTGCAAGTTGCGTCGGTAGTGGCCGGCGTGATCCATGGCTACTGGTTCGAGAGAGGACGGGCGACTCCTGCGTTTGAATACCTCGCTTCCCTGGCCTCGTTAGATGCCACCACAACGCTTCGAGGCAGCTGGAAAAGAGGAAACTAAATCGAGATGCTCCGTGATCCCAAGATTACAGGCATAGGATCAAACCTCGTCCATTCCTGCAAAGGATCCTGAAATTGATCAGGGCTACCAGGCTATCTCAGGCGGTTGTTGTGCGGTACATATCACCGGGAGTTCTTAGGCCGAGCACCTTGCTAGCATCAGCTGGATAGTCGTCCTGGTAAGATGGACGCGATATCGCCGGAGTGTAGCATGGAGGTGTGAGGTGAGGCATTGGTGTGCTCATCTAGGTTCGCTGCCGGACAAGAAGCATCACACCGATGCTCGCTGGCTCGGTTCGATATTCTGAGCTTCGAGATGTGCAAGTAAGTTCAGATTTTATTGCAGTTCCATCACAGCTGCAGCATCCTCCCGTCATGTGGTTGGCATGGTTACTTCTTCAGCGATCTGCGGCTGTCAACAGAGTATCAACACCGCCGGGCGTGTAGGATCCGCCGCTCCATCGTGCTCCATCTCGAATCTCATCAACCGAACTGAAGCAGCTCAAAGATACAGACAGCATTGTCTGCCAGAGCAAGTGCGCATACTCTTAACCTCGCACTTCCACTCATCTCTCACATGCAGCCCGGTTGCTCTTGCCGCTAGCGCGGTGCGGGAGCAGACACGCATGTTTTCTTCCCGCTTCGCTTCGCATTCTCCAGCAAACAGACTCAACAACCGARGCTTTGTCCAAACACCACCTCCATCACTACCATCATATTGCATCGCAGCGCCCGTCATGGGAGGCATGTACCTGCACTACGATGGCAGCGAGGCGGGCGATTCCGACGACGAGATGGATGACTTCACGCATTCCATCAACGGCGGCTCCGGTGCCGTGGTCGCCACTCCGAACGGCGCCACCCACCGCCAATACATCCAAGACGACGACGATGAAGACGTGGAGGAGCTTCTTCAACAATGGAAGCGGACGTTTCCCAGCAGATTCAAGCCGGCAGAGCTGAGTATGCCCGAGCTCATCACCTCCCTGAGTCGTGCTCTCACCCTCGTCAACTCTGGCGAGGAGCACATGGAGACMGTCATCATGGCGCTTACGTCTGAGGGAGGACTCAAACGCCTGCATCAGCTTCTGGACCGCGACTTCGATAAGTTCACCGACAATGTGCTGGGTGATGTTTGGCGCCGCTTGATCCTAGTCTACTTTCAGATCCTATCTCACGACACCGTGCTGAGATCAGAGGCCGTCGACCGCCGACACGCAACACTCCTGGTAGACCTGTACGGAGAGCATGGAAAGCGAGGCTCGTCCGTCTTCAACGCAGCTCTTCGAAGTCTGTCATTCCAGGCCAAACAAAARAACATCGCCGCCCACACCACTCAGGAGCATGTGGAGATCTGCATTTCTGTTCTCTCTTACATGCTAGCGCAGAGTGATTCGAGCATTGCCGCAGAGCTTCGCAATGTCACATCATCCATCATGTCAATGTTGAACGGCCCTCATCTCAGGAGCAATACCTCCCAGCACCTGCTCTCTCTTCGTGGAATCATCGATCAATCAAAGCTGAAGGTAGCGGGTGCTTCAACGCCGCTAGTTGTCGTCGAGGCTGCGGCAGCACCGATACCAGCAGATCTTGCTTCGACTCCGGCAGCAAGTGTCTTATCAGTGCCTCGGGCTACTTCAGAGGCATCTAGGGGACCAGCTCCGTCCACCTTCACCCTCAGAAAACCAACAACCAAAAAGTCATCGACCCTCACGATTAGGAAACTGAAAGCAGCGTCTTCTCCTACTCCAGGTGCTCCTACCAGCGCTCCATCTGCTGCGCCAAAGGCCTCTTTTGCTGTCGCACAGAATCCGACAGGAGGCGTTTCGCGCCCGACTTTCACCAGACACAACAACGACAACAGTTCCATTGACAAGATTTCGGTACTCCCGACACTCGAAGAAATCTTGTGCGACACAGCGCCGTATCTACCGCGCGAAGACCCGTCAACATGGCATAAACCTGGTATGCCTGGGGTCATTGACCGTCATTTCCGTCTTGTGCGGGAGGAYACGGTTGGCCAACTTCGAATCGCTGTGAAACTCGAGCTTGCCGCACTTCAGAACATCGAAGCCACTCCCAAGCCGACAGCGTCCTCATCATCTGCCCACAGCATAGCAGAAATCACGGGCGCCCGAACAAATGTCTATCCCGATGTGGGTCTTGACAGGGTGCTCTTCCATCCACAGAAGGGCATGCAGTTCATCCTGACAATCCGTCAGGCACCTTCCGCGTCGAACTTACGCAATGGTCCGGATCGCGATGCTTGGTGGAAGCGACAACAGAGACTCGGTCCCGACTCGTTGATCTGTCTAATCTCTTCTGATGGTGGAGCGCACTTCCTGGTTGTGCACTGTCCCCCACCGCCTAAGCCTGGTAAGCCATACGGCCCGAACGCCCTTCACAAGAAGTTTTCTCTCGGAGCGAGCAGAGATCGTGCCTTTATTATTGCAGAGCTTGCAAGCACCAATCCGGATGACRCTTCGGCTCTTCTTAGGACGCTCGCCACGAGCACAGCCACGAAAGTCCGTTGCTGCCTGGTTGAGTTTCCTGGGCAGATTTTACAGTCTTTTGCCCCTACGCTCGCAGCTCTACAGATCATGTCGACCAAGATCGGCGAGATCCCCTTTGCCGACGCTTTGACGCCTGACTTTAAGGGTTTTAAGCCCTCACCTCCGGCCTACTCCCGTGCACGAGGTTTCCGGTACCAACTTCAGAAACTATTGCCCGAGAGTGAACGTAGACCGTATGGCCGTGCAGACGTGGACTCCCTTCTCAAACGAAGCGTTCTTGATGACGTTCAGCAGGATGCGGTCAAACACGCCCTGACCAACGAATTGGCATTGATTCAAGGCCCTCCAGGAACTGGAAAGTCGTTCACCGGCGTCAAGCTCATTGAGGCTCTACTAGAGAACAAGTATGCCGCGAATCTCGGGCCAATCGTCTGCGTTTGCTTCACAAATCACGCCCTCGACCAGCTTCTTGAGCATCTTATGGATGCCGGTGTTGAGAATGTGATTCGCATGGGCTCCAGATCCAAGAGCGAACGACTTGCTCCCAAAAACATCCGTGAGGTTGTTATGAACTACAACCTTCAGGGCAGCGAGGGTCCTCAAATGGGGCGGGCCCGGAAACGCATGAAGAAGACTATGCGGAATGTGGTAGCCCTCATCGATCGATGGTACGGCGTTCTGACATCAAAGCAAATGGAAGATGAGGAGATGACGACTTTGCTCGCGAGAGATCATCCTGCTTTTCACAATCAGCTCATGGCAGGGAATACAGCGCGTGGCCACTTCGCGCGAACACCAATTCAAGAGTGGCTCCAAGGCGGTAGCACCGGTGGCCGCGGCGCGGTGTTTGCCATGCCGATCGCAGATCGTAAGGAGTTTCACCGGAAGCTTCTCGTTTCAATATTTGAGGACATCTACCAGGAGCTTGAATTTGAGCTCCAGTCATTCTACGATCGGAGAGGCAGCATCGATGTTGTACGCGGTGAAGTGGACTTGCGAGCGCTCGCCCGCGCAGATGTGATTGGCGTCACAGCCAGTGGCTTGGCTGGGAAGTATAAACGCTTGCGAAACCTCAAATCAAAGATTGTTGTGGTGGAGGAAGCTGGTGAAGTCTTGGAAGCTCACCTATTGACCGCTATGCTCCCATCAGTCGAGCACGCGATACTCATCGGTGATCATCAGCAACTCCGGCCCAAGGTCAACAACTACGATCTCTCAATCGACAATCCGTGCAGTCGAATCACTCTGGATGTCTCCATGTTTGAGCGCTTGATTTCCGCGCGATACGACCTATCACCCGGGCTGCCTTTTGTCACCCTCGAGATGCAGCGCCGCATGCATCCAACCATTTCCAACCTCATTCGCTCAACACTTTATCCCAATTTGGGAGACGCTCCCAATGTTCACACCTACCCACCGGTGGCAGGCATGGCTAGGCGGCTCGCTTGGCTTGATCACAGGAATAAGGAGGATGACACGAGGAACAACCCACAGAGCGTCTCGCAATCGAACAAGTGGGAGGTGGGCATGGTTGCTGCTCTCGTTGATTATCTTCAGAAGCAGGGTACCTACTCCGCCGGCGACATCGCAGTCCTTACGCCGTACTCGGGTCAGTTGAAGTTATTGCAAGCCAAGCTCGAAACTACCTGCGGCATCATGCTGAGTGAGCGAGACATGGACGATGGGATCCAGGCCAGCGGTAATGGTGGCAGATCGCGCAATGCCATTCGCCTCAGTACTGTGGACGCCTTCCAAGGTGAAGAAGCAAAGGTCATTATCATCTCAATGGTGCGGAGCAACGACAAGAAGCTTTGTGGCTTTCTCAGCACCACGAACAGAATCAACGTCCTGCTCTCTCGTGCCATGCACGGCATGTACGTTATCGGGAACTCTCACACCATCTCGGAAATCCCCATGTGGCAGACCATTATGAACCTCTTCAAGGTTGAGGGTAACTTTGGTTCTGCGCTCGAGATTGCCTGTGAACGCCATCCTGATACAGAGGCCCCACTCCTGGTCCGCGAGCCAAGAGATTTCTCGCGTGTTTCACCAGCCGCTGGGTGTAATGCCGAGTGCGGTGAGCAGCTTTCTTGCGGCCACTTGTGCTCTGATAGATGCCATTCTGAAGCAGTGCATAACCGTGTGAAATGCAAGCAATGCACAACCGTGTGAGWTGAATGCAAGCAACAGTGCGGCCGCCCCGATGAAATGCCCCAGTCGACCGAGAGCGTTGTGATGGAGACTGGCGTTGTTTGGCGCATGCTGGAGGAATGGACTAAAGCTGTGGGGATGTGGATGGAGAGGACGAAAAGGATGCGATGGGCGGCGGGGTGGATAAGTTACAAGTGAGGTTGCCGATGATGGAATTCAAGCTACCTACCTTACTCTTGTGGACGAATTCTAAACGTGTATGTACGAGCAAGACCACATGTTCGCTCGCTTCACTTGTGTCTCGTTCCATGTCTTCTCCTAGCCTACTTTTGGCTACAAGGTATATTCCAGGCCCCATTCAACGCAAGAAGATTATTTCGCGGGATGTTCATGTTGTCAGAAGATACCGATTTGGAATCTAAATCTCTCAATCTCTCGAAGTTCCTCAAAAACGCCCTCTGGAGTCATCAGCAGCTCCTATAATGATGCAATGATGAAGCACTTTTGCACATTGTCGTAATATAGTAAAGGAAACAAAAAGCAAAGGTCAAGAAGGACCCGACGCTGCTCAACTCAGATTTTGAGTTTTGACTATAGTGAAGTCMCGAGGATCTCCGACGAMATGTGTTCCCTTTCCTCCCAGACATTTCATCATTTCCATCCCTCAATATGACAATGATGATCAGCAGTGCTGCTGGTCAAGACGAATTAAGAAAAGATGAAAGAGAATGGGAACGTTTCAGCTTGCCTTGAATTCGGTACCACCACGACCGCCTTCGCGAGAAGAAAAGCCGTGTGTTATTAACTTACTTGGCAAAAGGCAACAATCTCATTGTTGTAGTTATGTATCAGTGCGGATCTCTCTCACTTCTTTTTATAAAGCTGCCTGCCTACCTGCCTGCCTGCCTGCCTGCCTTTTTCACAAGGAATGATGGAGCGACGATTATACGATACATCCTCACGACGAGCGAGAACAAATACTGAGAGCATCCAGACGAGAAAGACTTCTTCTTCTTCTTCTTTTATGAACAGTACGAGATTACAATACTGACATGACAACAGATCATCAACAACAACAGACAGACAAAAAAACCCAACATCCCCAAAGAAAAGCCCTCCAATCTCACCCCATCATCATCATCATCATCTCAAGCTCGACCCCGGAGACCAACTCCGCCCCAGCGTAGCATTGGCATCAGTCGGACTACTCGACTCGTAAAATCCCGCCATACTAGTGAAATCCGCAGAAGGCAATCCCGCAATAGCGTCATCGAAATGACTATCCGGAAGACCGACATGGACATCTCCATTCGTATCCAGACCAAGCGAAGGATCAATGGCGACTTGCGGCTGCGAAGCATGTTGGAGATATGCTGCGTGCTCCTGGTTCTCGAATGTGGGCGGCGGTGTTGGGGCCATGGAGTGTGGATATGAGGGCTGATAGTACTGTTGTTGTTGTTGTTGTTGTTGTTGGTACTGCAATTGTCCACCTTGAGCAGGATACTGGGAGTATTGCTGCATCGGGGTGCTTGTGCGGGAATTGGTGAAGAGGTTCTCATCGTGGCCTCCTCCTTGTTGTTGACCACCAGGCATGCCCAGACTTCCGAGATTATGCATCTGCTGGCCGTTGAGAGATGCGGGAGTGGGGGCGCGGACCTGCATGTCATGCATAAAGTGTTGTGGGTACTGCGATATGCCCTGCGGGACATACTGTTGCTCATACGACTGTTGGACGTGCTGATTGTACACATTTGACGGAAGAGGCCGTTGGGGAGGAGCAAAGTGGTACTCGTGTTGCTGCATCTGCTGTGGCTCATAGTACGGTGTGGACGAGAAGCCTTGGAGGTCGGGAAGATATTCCATCTGGCCTTGCTGTCGACGCTGGCGTGTGTTCCGAGTCCCGCGATATTCGCCATCTGGATCGCGCACAATGTCCAGATCACTGTCTTCATCATCGGACATCTCCCCCTTGCGCCGCTTGTTGGCGGCTTTGCTGGGCGAAAACTTGTAGGTGGGATGGGCATCGTGATGATGTTGACGCTCCGTCTTGGCCCACAGATCGAATTGGTTGCGAACCTCTTCGGGCTCCATTGGCCAGCTTTCTCCCGAGACCGAAGAGACGATTTGATGGTTGTTCTGGGTACACCACTGTTTGGTGCGCTCGGCATAGGCTGAGCGATACAGCATAAAGGAGTTCATTGGACGAGTGACRTATCCGTTGCGCTTCTCCACCTCTTTGACTCTCTCCTCGACGGAACGGTTTACCCAAGCTTCAATGTCACGGACAGGAGTGGCCATGTCCTTGGTCAAGACCGACAGAGGAGCAGTGAGTCTGGGCGTCTTGGACTTGTCGAGCTTGCTTTTCTTCTCCTTCTTGGCCCGGACAGCTGGCGACTTTGTGACTCTGGATCTGCTGGTGCTGAACGGCGAGTCGGTCCGTCGAGCAGAGCGACCGCTCCGAGTGCGAACACCATCACTACCGGTGTTGGACCGTGGTGTTGGCGGGTTCTGGACATACGACTCTTGCGAGTAGATGGTGTATGGATCGGGCTGCGAGACCGTCAGTGTATGCTCATCACGCCCATTCGTCAAGGTGCTACATACATAGATACCCAACCCCTTCACATCTTCCGTGAAGTCTGGATATTCAGTCGACACTTGGGCGTTGTGTCTGGCGACAGCATCAAGACCATAGTCGTCTGGGGATTGCCCGTGGTGGACAATGGTGGAGCTCATTGTCGGGATCTGGCGGGACCAATTTCAGACGGGATGAAAGACTCTCGGACGACAAGACTATCAATGAGACGAAAGAAGTCTCTGCGGGTCTTGTTAGCTTGCAGTTCCATTGCTATGGTTGCTCCGGCGGTTTGTCTCGCACGCAGTCGTGCATGGAGACACCTTGTAGGAGATTTGAGGAGGCATTACCCTGTGTGACTACCCGCTGCCGACGCACTTTGTCTGGCTTCTGCACCGCGCTTCTTTGCTGCAGCAATCCGCTCCAGCGTGCCTTGTTGGATGTCGTCCTTGGTGTAGGAGCAAGTCTTTGGTATGGTCGTTGTCTGGTCAGGAGGCTTTGTCTCGGAAGGGGTGGCCAAAGAAGCTGACGAGCAAGCAGAGACAGAAAGGATGTAAGGAAGAAGTCACACAAGATCCTTTGTGTAGCAGAGACCCAGGATACTTGTAGCAACTGATCAGGTCGAGGGGAGTTGAGACTGCGTTGCTGAAGACGGAAGATGTTCACCGCATCCGTCTGTCGCTGTTCTGCGTCCAGGCCGGGAAGAAGTCTCAGTTGGCCGTTTCCGGAAGTCGAAGCAATCGTCGCGCAACTACGCTGCAAGCACAACGAAGCATCATCGTTGAGATATAGACCGGGGCGCCTGCTCCCAAAGCTCCTAGCAGCAGTGAGTGACACTGGGCGCCCCGCAAGATCCATAATTTCCCAATCGGTCATCCTCGCGCGCGCAGCTTGGAGACACCGCGATGAACGCCACAGACTCCTGGGTCCGGGGTGGGACTGGGACTAGGCCCAAAGTTGGCAACCTCATTGACAGCTAGAGCAATGCTCACCAACGATCAGCTTGTGACAATGTGCCTGGCGATCAACAGTCCCACTAGTTCGCAGTGTGCCGTCGATGTGCAGTAGTCATCTGAGCTGCGCAACTTGAGCTGCATGATAGGCGACGTGATCCTTGGATTGCTGCCCTCTAGCACGCGCGGATTGTTTGTTACACGCAGGCCCGATGGCCGCATTCCTCACGCTAGCCCTACCCTCTGAAACCAGCGGCGGCGAGAGCCAATCCCAACAGCGCAGGAATTCATCGCCGGCACACTCCCACTCCCCACACCCAGCCTCAAGCGACGGGATTGATTGCCAGGTACCTGCGTACCATATGCGAACGCAGCGCGACCAAATGACACCCGCCCGGAAGCCTGCATACTGGACCCAGCGTCTGGGCGCTTGGGCTGCTCTTCACCTCGCACGTGCCCGCTTCGAACGACAGATTCCCGCTGGCCCCTCCAGCAAGTGGTCTCAGCTATGTCTGTGACTGTGATCGTGCGCACGTAAAGGTGCGCTGCCCAAGTGGGGGCGCGTGGTCTTAGCAGCACGCGTCGGACCTGCAGGGGCATCCCAACTCTGGACCACGGCAGGATTTGCGGCTAACACAGCCCTGCGGCCATGCCATTATGGACCATGAGGCTCTCCCTGATCGGTCCACCCCCACGCTGCTCCTCTGATCGTGGATGGCGTCTGGCTGTAAGGTAGTACCTTAAGGCAGGGAAGTTCGGTTGCTACCGAAAGGTTCGCTGCGAACGCCCTGAGGAATGTACACTAGCCCAGATGCAAGCGACTCCGTGCAACCACACTCGTCTTGTTTCAAGATGGACCTGTTCCAAGCGGTTGCACTTCGCTTGATTTAACGATGGAAAAGTCCTGCAGCTTGCCCGGCTGCAGTTTCTTGCGCGCGTGCGCAGGGCTGGATGCCGGAAATTGACTGGCTACCGAAAAGTGCCATCCCAATGCAACCTCTGCTGTGCCAGCATATCGGACATTAATCGCTGATGAGATCGAACGCAAGCCACGGCGGCGGCGGGATCTGCTCGGTCTGGTGTCCCTCACGGTTAGTCGCGCTGACACGCGCCTTTTTTTTCAACGTCGACGTTGCACCAGGGCTGAACTTTTGAGGAGTGATCGGTGTGGTAGCTTCGAGGTCTAGGCCCCACGACGGCGACCACGAATCCAATACAGCAAGAAAAGACGAGGCGATCTCAGCTTACCTTTGTGGCGCTGAATGGCTCCGGTGGTAGTGCTGYCACTCGGATCATTTCCGAGCTGTCGGGTTGAAACAAAGTTGTCAAGGTGGAGACGCCGAAGCTTGGAGGTGCTGTAGGTACCGTGCAATAGTGTTACATTGCTGCTGGGCGGCCAACGTCATTGTGGCTGTTTGCTCGCGCCAGGGCAAAGACCTCTATAGATGTGCCAAGAGCTATCCTGTGAAGAATGCTCAAGAGTCTTGCATGTGCTCGTCTTCATCCGATTCCTCGGCATCCTCCTCAATGCCATCCCACTCATCCTCCCATTCAGGCTCCGCTCCGCCCTCGGCCTGCGCGTCTTCCGGACCCAGTACCGTGTCAAGGCTCGCGACGAGCTCCATGGCGTGGTCGAACAACCTGTCATCCTCATAGTCCTGCTGCTTGTACAACTTCAACGACGTTTTCAGCCACCTCCGACTAGCTTTCATCACAAGCTGCACTTGCTCCGGGCTGATCGCTGCGGTGCCACTCGTTCCTGTGTCCATGGCCGAGTCTTCTGTTGCGGCTTTGTTACGATTGCGCTCAGAGATCAAGTTCTGGCACCATCCTCCTAGGTACCACGCCTCAACGCTCTGGTCATCCTCCTGGATCAGCCGATGAAGAACATCCATCGCTTCCTTCTCCATCTCAGCCTCCATTAGTAGGCGTGAGAGGGAAATTTTGGTCGCAAAGTCCGGTACGGCAGGATCTTCGGGTTCCAAGTCCATCCAAGTAGCGAGAGAGCGCTGAAGGGCAGAACGCGCGTCTTCTTTGCGTTCTTGCGACAGTCGTACAGATGCCAAAGTCTGCAGCACCTCAGGGCTAGTCTCATCTTCGACTGCCATTGCTTCAGTGACCAAACTTTCACAGCGTGCTTCCGCATCCTCCTCCCAGGAGAGATCGGTCATGTAGACCTCAACGATCCCGCATAGAGCGTTTGCAAGTTTGCGCTTCTTGTCGATGCGCATCAGTAGAACAGTCTCTTCGTCCAGTCCAGGAATCTGGCCAGTCTCTAGTGCAGTGATCTCCAGCTGGAGAGCCTTTGCTCCTCTCTCAAACCATTCTACGCTTTGCTTTCCTCCATCCTCGCAGAGTTGCGCAAGCCAGAGAAACTTCTCGGCGCCACCACCAAGAGCCTCTGGTACTTTGCCTTCTGGATCACGTTGCACGGCGATCTCAAAGTACTCGCGAGCCGAGTCCACAGCGCCCAATTCGATGCAGATTTCTCCAAGTAGATTGACAGCTGGCAGTGCCTCGTTTACGCTGCGATCTTGTACCTGTGTCCAAAGCTGCTWGGCGACTTTGRGAGCTTCTTCCGGTTGTGATTGCTCGACTAGCTGAAGAGCACTGGCGTAAAGCTCCTCTGGAGACGCCATCTTCTTTACTCCGTTGGCTGGCTTTTGGGATTTGGCTCCGGACTTGGCTTTCTTCGTTTTGGCCATGTACCGCAATTCGTAGTGAGGAGTGCTTATTTGTTTTCCCAAAGCGATGCAAATTGGGCACCGAGTTGTTGATGTTACTGTGTTTGGCTTGGAGCTGGGATTTTCGTAAAACTTTTTGGTCCCTCGCGCGTGCGCCACACGCACAGCCTCACACGGATGATCTCATCTGCTGGATTTCGCATCAGGGTTAGGGTTGTGGTAGTGACACGAGGTTGTCGGCATCGCTACGATCAACCAGATGATCTCTTCTTCGTGAGGTGAGTATCATTTAAATTGAAGGTCCATGGCCTGCAATATTCGTGCTGTGAAAATTGKTTGGCTCGTGTCACAAATCATATTTATACTGACAGTGTTGGAGTATCCAGCGCGTTCTATTAGACTCCCTCGAGATCCTTAGGATGTGAGATCTTCAACATCCCTTTTAACTCGACGACGAAGAGGCACTGAGGATGAAGAAAGCATGCAATCAAATGGCGAATTCGTAAATATTCGTGACAACCTAACCAGCGCCTTGCTAAAAAACGAACCAACCACCTTATGCTCTCACTGACCAAATCTGTGCTGACCGGACATCTGACCATCATCGACCTCGAAACACCTCGCTAACAGCTCCCAAAGTCTCCCCTGCGAAACCACCGTCTCCTCAGCACAGGCCTAAATACCCACGGGTAACCTATACACCCGGCTGTCAACTTTCAGTGCACGTTGATCCATGCTCTGACAGTCTACTCAACCGCTCCTTTGACTGAGTGCCTTATCCTCAGACAACTCCCAGCTCGGCTTCCATTCAATCTGCTGGCTTAGACCCGCATGTACCAGCCAGTCTGTACCTACAATCCTCGCCTCCAATCCCTGCTTGTGGGCCATGTCCCTGAACTTGCTCCATAGCTTGATCTCTGGCTCGCTCYCCCCGCTCACGAGATATACAAAGTCATACTCCGCCTCTCCGCCTTGGTTTTGGCTCTCAGCGCCGAGATTGCCATCGATCTTCCGTTTCGGAAGGACGAGTCCAGTACGGCCGGTGTATAGATGCGCCGCACCGCCGTTGAGGGTGATGATGTCCTTGTAAGTTTCGAAACCACCTTTGACGTCCTTGGTTACGAAAATTGACCATCCGTTGAGCAACTTTCGATCATTGATCTTTGCGCGCTCCAGACTGTCTTCCAGCGTGAAGCCCATACGTTCTTCGCCGTCGGGATCCTTTAGCATGGGTGGGTCCTCGATGAGCTTCTTTCGTTTGAGCGCTGCGTCCAGAAAGGTCGTATCCACAACCAGCGGAGCTCCCGCAAGTGCACAGACAAACTTCCTGGTGCGAAGTAGTCTCGCGGCCACGAGTATGTCGACTTCCTTTGGATCGGTAGTCAACAAAACGCCAATACTGCGAAGAGTGTTCTTATCCGCGGACTCCTTCCGAGTGTCACCTTGCCAGCGATCATCGCCAGTGACCATCATCTTGTACTTGACCGGCGGCAGCGTCGCAGCGAGCTTCGCCTTCTTCGTTTGCTTGCCAGAGGGCTCTGCCTGAGTTTCGCCATCGCTAAGGGCGCTGCCGACTGCAGTGACATCGTACTCATCGCTCGGACGCTTTTTCGACGTGCGACGAGTTGGTGCAGGAGAGGAAAGGGCATCTTCGTCCGCGAGGCTTGCCCGCCGGCCTCCATGAAGAACTCCGCCTTTTCGTTTCATCTCCTTTTGGAAGAGTGAGATGTCCGGTGCTTGTGAGTGGATGTTGTTGAGAGCTTTGTTCTTGGCTGCGCGGCCTGTGCTGGTCACAGATGGCGACTTGTTTTCCTTTTCGTCATCTGCGAATCGCGGTGTTGCCAGTGCCGACTTTGATGGTCTTCCGCGAGGTCTCTTGGCGGTTGTGGGTGCAGCGTCTGTATCCATTTCGTCTGCTTCCGCGATTGGGGAGGGAAAATCACCCTCTGTATCGTCTGCGAGTGCAGACCGTGGCAAACCGTGAGGCATAAGCGTGGTACTCGACGCTGGTACTGTCTTGCGGGGAGAGGCCTTCTGCAGCTTATGCGGAGTCTTCACCTTGGGAAAGTACACCTTTTCAACACACTTCATGTCCAATGCGGTCTGGCCGGCGACTTCTCCAAGATTGGTACGAGTTGGAAAGTGAGTGTATTTTGGGTTGGCAACAGTTTGGTACGCGCATTTGGCGTAGCTCTCTTCCAGCCAGATATGATTGACTATGCTGACGTTCCACTCCTGCGCGGCTTCGCACTTTTCGCCATGCATGTGGGCGGCAACAAGGTGAGTGTTGTCTTGTTTCATCGTCTTGGTGTATTCAGCACCACAGTATCTGATCAGATTTTCCACATACACACGAGCATCTCCAGAATAGTTGGAGATGCTGATCTTCATGTTTTCGAACCCAGAGATGGGCTTGCGAGGGATCGGGTAGTGGAACAGTTTTCGCAAAGGCGAAACGTACTTGTTGTAGTTGATGACATGGAACAACCAAGCCAGATTTGCCACTACCGTCTCCTCGCGTCGTGATGCCTCCTCGTATTCCCGACCGTCTCTGTACTGGCCGATGAAAAGGTCCGATTCTTCGATACTCTTGACAATGACAGCTCCAGCGTACGTGCACAGCTTCTTGAGGGTGGCGCGGAGATGAGTAGATATTTGTAGGTCATCTGACAAGTATATCTTTCGGAGAGCCAGAGCATTGAGATTCTTCCGCGAGTGGGTGGGACTTGACGGGGGACTTGAGCTTGGCTCTCCAATGGGAGTGCCAGTGGTGGCACCTTCGAGCTCTGAGGACTGAGCACCTTTCACACTGGTTCCATTCAGGGTCGGTCGCAGAATTTCTGGGTTCGGGAACATGTATGGTCGCTCGCTGATCATTTTGCCTAGCTTGAAGCAATCGTCAAACCAGTGTGGCAGCACCATCTTGACTTGAGGCATCTTCTCGAGAGCCAGGAGACATTTCTTGGATGTATCGTCTGTCGTGACAATGTGCGTCACCAGCTTGGTCAGGTTCTGGCTGTACTGCCCGCCGAGTGCAATGACACCTGCGACGAGGTTCTCAACGTCGCCTTCGGGCAGTCCGGCAAAGGTGACGACCACGTCGTGGAAGAACTGGGCGGGATCTGGAGTGTGCAGGCGCGTGGCAGACACTCGCTTCTTCATGATACTCTGTGCGACCCATGACGGCTTTACGATGGCAATGCCAAGTTCGAGCGCGCGCTCGTATTGTGGGAAGTCGACGCTGGTGGCGATGATGTGTGTCATAGTTTGGATGGCCTCGTTATCGATCTGCTGATCCGCCTCGCGAAGAGGGATGTGCTGTCCACCGCTGGTGACGAGTGCCGTCTGGATATCATTGATCTGATCATCGCTGAGGTCGTTTGGGATTATGGCGAATACGACGTCTTCGAACAAGCCAACGTCACCACCGTCTTCCTCCATGATCGCCGTATGCAGACTAGTGTTCGTGGTGGTGTCTGAGGTTGCTGGTGGTGGATTCGCTGCTTTGGTTGCTGTGAGTGCTGTGGCTGCTTGGGCCTGCTGTCAGCAATGTTTGGAGGTCGACGCGTCGGGAACACGCGAGGCAGTAGCGTTCCCTCCCGCCGGAGATGAACCTTAAATCGTGATTCTGGATGATGATGATCACGTTCACGTTGGTTCTCTTTGTTCCATCCGGCTCGTCCCACAAAAACCTCCCCACCACCAACATGGACGCCCGTCTCAATCGCGAAGAGCACATCAAAAGTCTCACTTCTTCACATCGCCTGCGCAAACAGACATGGTACGAATGGTGGTATTCCATACAACCGGATCCGACGGGCCCGGTGAGAACGACCGATGCCGCGACAAGCAAGGCTCTCAAGGCACACTTTGTTGAGATTCTCGATCGTGTGGAACCCCCTGAGACTTTCAAACCGCGCGAGGTCGCAGAGGCTTTGACGGACAAGGAGCTCAGCTCAATGGGCTACAAGAAACAGGAAGAGGCAATTCCAGCAGTCTACGAGCTCGCATTTGAGATGCGAGACCTAGGGGACTGTGAGATCTTGAGGAAGGGCGTGGTGATTGGAGACGATGTTGGGATTAGTGATTTGGATGGTCCGATCAGGATTCGGAGAGCAGTGTTTTGATATGTATGACTGTATGAATGAGCCATGTTGACTGAATGTGAAGCACTTTCACTCCATTCTCATCCCATTCTCATTTGATGGCCAGGCTGCATGAAGCAGATGAGCTCGCCAATGAGCGGCTGTCTGCTACGCCCACATCCTCCACCTCTACCGTCCGTCTAGTCCTTGCTGAACTGTCCCGGAACAGACCAGAGGCTGCATATATCGCGGTCGCTATTCAGCGAAGCCGGTGCAAGGATATGATATTCGTAGACCCGGGCGTTCTTGTTCTCGGCAATCCATGTGCTCAGTCTGGCAGCTGAATCTGTGATTGTCCTTTAGACTTCTCGGGTATCTTCAACCCTCGACACTCAAGCCCTTCATCCGCTCTAGATCCACGTCTTCTCCTTCTTCGTCCTCCTCGTCCATCACCTTACCAGCCAAGCCCATCTCCCAAAGCTGCCGCCCTGTCAGCTTCTTCTCCTCCTTCGGCCCACGCTTCTTCTTGTCCTCCGCCTCCTGCAACTCGGCAGCTTTTTGCTTCTCAGCCTCTAGCTCCTTCTTGTATGCCTCACTCCATTTCAAGAAGCTCTCCCTTGTGACTTTCTCGCCCTCAAACTTTCTGTTCTCCTCTTCCTCCGCCTGTGCCTTGGCCGCATCTAACTCTGCCTGCACCGCCAATTGTCGCTCCGCCATGAGCTGTTCCGCCGCATCTTTCAACGTACTTACGAGTGTGAAGATCATTTGGATACCCAAGTTCTCCTCAATCGTCTCCTGCAGCGACTCCAGCAATCGGTCCTTGTCATCTTGAATGTCGAGATGCTCATGCTTTGAGGCATTTGGTGGTTGTGTGATGTCCAWGACTGGAGCTACATCTGGGTATTCTTCTGGGTATTTGACGTTCAAGATCAGAACGGGATCCTCTGTTTCGTCATCCTCATGTCTTCCGGTGTCGAGAGCTATGGAGATGCGGAATTCGGTGGGCGAGATTTCGTGAATCTCGTCCGGGTATATTGAGGCAAGGACTTCGCGCTCTTCGGCCTGTTCTTCGGCACCCATGATAGAGGAATGAGGGCGTGTTTGGTGGAATGTGCGTAATGTGAGATGTTTCGAAGGTGGGGTATTCTCAGAAAGTCCGGTACCTGTGCATGAACGGCACTCTTCACTTTTGTGGAGCTATACCAATCACACAGATCATCGACCATCTTACTTTTCCAACAACAACTCCAGCCAAGAAATGTCAGTTCCCAGCCCAGCGTCACAATCGCTTGCTGCTCTCTCCATCTCATCGCCCTCAGAAGCTCAACCACCTCCAGCTTCGGATCTTCGAAACATCAGATCGTATCCGCCCTTCTACACTCTCCAGCCAAACCTCACGATTCGAGCTCGCCAATTGGAACTATGGTCCAGCCTCATAACCTCTTACTGCGCCACCAACCACATATTCCGTCTTTCCCTCTCATCTCCACCTCCAGACCTCTTCTCCAACACTACCATCAAGCGGAGCCTCAAAGCAGCCGATATCAAAACGGTGCTGGAGTCTATGGGAAAGACTATTGAGTGGTTGTCGGCGGATAAGAGCGCATGTCTGGTATGGTGGCGGAGTGCAGAAGAATGGGCGGATGCTCTGGTGCAGTGGGTCGAGGGAACTGGACAGAAGGGCGCAGTGTTGACTGTCTACGAGTTGAGAGAGACGGGCGATTGGCGAGGCATGGAGGAAGTCATGCTCAGGAAGGTCTTGACTCTGCTAGCTAAAAAGGGCAAGGCAGCTATCTTTGCAGTGGGCGATGGTGAGGGTGTCAAGTTCTTCTGAACGAACAGACTTACATCAGGAGGTTGACTTCCCCTATCAACGGCACCGTCCAAGGCACTGGAAACTGGATGTTGACACGACACCGCCAACAAGAAAAGGAGCGCACTATTGCCGGTCTACGGAATGTAATAGCTGAGGTCGTTGCCGTCCTGCAATTCGTACCCGGTGAAGCCATTGCCTAAAAATTTCCMCCGGTTTGCGCTACGATACTTGATCTCGAAGTCCTCTGGCCGCAACCTGCCGTTCACGAGCTTCTCATAGAGGATCGCACTTCCCGCAAAAGTCGCCGTCACTCTTCCATTCACCCGGTTGGCCTTGTACCAAGACCGGCACCCGCCAGTCCAAGTGAGCGTCTTATGGATCTGGTCTCCATATCTCACGAATTCATCGACCACCTCCTGCTTGGGAGCCACGCATGCAATGTCTTCGTATGCCATTTTCTGTATCCACCGAATCATCCATTCGGCCGACCAGTCAAGGGAGAAGATGAGTGAGCCGTGGCCAACTGTGGCGTTGGGCCCAGTGAAGAAGAAGAGATTGGGCATGTCAGGGCATGCCAGTGATAGATAGCTCTCGGGCTCATCTTTCCACTTCTCTGCTAAGCTGACACCATCCCTGCCGATGAGAGGGAAAGATGGGACCTGGGAGATGTCGAAACCCGTCGCGCAGATTATTACATCGAATTCACGGGAGTTCCCATCCTTGGTGTGGATCTCTGAGGCTGTAATGTGTGAAATCTCGCTGTTTTCGAGATGCACATTTGGTTGCGTGAAGGCCTCGAGGTATCCCGTTCCTGGCGTGATTCTCCTGCAGCCAAGCTCATACTTCGGTATCAGCTTCTCGCACAGCACAGGATCATGATTCAGCTTTTCCTTCATCTGTTCAATCGCAAACTGCGTCATCTCGGTATTGTAATCCGAGCCTTTGACAAAGAGCTTGAAATTCTTGTTCACGCTCCCCTGTACGGTCTTACGATACTTTCGCAACTCTGCTGGATCTCGGAAGCGTTGCTTATCCTCCTCGGTGTACGCAGGATTTGGATCTGGATCCTCGCCGCCGAGAATCTTAGCGGGTGCACTGCGAGAGAAGATCCAAGTGGGTGTTCGTTGGAAACTGGTCACTTCATTTCGCAACTCGGGTTTTACCATTWCGGGTAAGATCTGGATTCCACTCGATCCGTTGCCAATCACTGCGATCTTCTTTTTGGTGTAATCGTAAGAATGGTCCCAAGCAGCACTGTGGACTTTCTTCCCCTGGAATGTCTCGATGCCAGGAATAGATGGCCAGTTCCAGCTCGAGAGGAATCCGCGGGCTGAGATGAGGATATCCACATGGTCTGTAAATGTCTCTGCACCGCCATTCTTTGAGATCTCCAGCTTCCACTCGCTCTGCTCTTCGATCCATCTGGCATCGCGGACATAATGGTCGAACAGGACGTTTTGATCCAGTTTCCATTTCTTTACGGCCATCTGGAAGTACTCCTGAATCTGCTCCCCCCGGCTGAAGAAGTGGGACCATTCCGGGTAGGGCTCAAAAGGGAAACAGTAGATCGCCGAAGGGACGTCGCAGCGAACACCGGGATATGTGTTGGCGTCCCATGTCCCTCCAACTGTGGATCGAGACTCATAGATCTTCCAGTCTAGTAGATCTTTGAACTCTTCGGCATATTTATACTGAAGTTTGTGGGCCATCGACATGCCAGAGAAACCAGCTCCAATTATTGCGAGGCGAAGTCTTTTGGTGGGTGTAAAGGCTGGGACGTCATTCAAGGGTATGCTTATGTTGGACATACGAGAAGAGTGAGCATGGGCTGTTGGAGGGGGAGGGATGTCTGTGCCGTTAGCATGGTTGGTTTCTTGCTCGAGGGAGCCATTCTGCGTGACATCGATTTCGGCCATTTCGAATCAGTGAGTTGTCGTTTGTGTTAACAACTGAACGAAATGAAGAGGGCAGTCGTTGTCTGTTGTAAACACTTATCTTGCCGTTGTTTCCGAGCAGGAAATGCGATGTCGCTCGGCTACACGGTGGCGTTGGAAGTGTGGGGTTTGTACACTTTGCGGAGATGAACTTGGAGACGAGAAGTGTAGGGTCATCCATACACATGTATGGACGGCAGAACATTTAGCAAATCTCTACATCTCCAAGTTCTGTTGGAATATATGACCGCTTTTCACCTAAACCTCAATGTATGGAAATGCCTTGAGGGTGTTGCCGAAAGCATAACCTCGGCCGGCAGTCGCGAGGGAATGATCTGGCGAATACGCTAGGAGGAAGTCTAAAGAACATCACGTCGTCCATCATCTCGTACTTACATTACCATCGACTGTTCATACATATAGAGCTCGTCCGACTATACTACAAACATATCGACCGACAGCATGTCGACCGCTCATTTCAGGATAAAGGAACACACTTTACCAACCTCACACATTCGGGAATATCCTAGAGGTACTGCAGGCGATCAAGAGGTTGTCCTAAGCCTTGCCATCAAGCAATACACTCCTTTGGACTCAAAATTCGAGGACGAAGGCGATGTCACCATTATCGGAGCGCATGCAAACGGATTCCCCAAGGTATGGATCTCAGCAACTATAGCTGTTCGAATCGTACTTACAACGAGCAGGAATTATATGAGCCCTTGTGGGACGACTTGTATGAACGGCTGAAAGCTAAGAATGTACGGATACGCAGTGTCTGGATTGCAGATGTTTCATACCAAGGCCAATCAGGGGTGTTGAATGAAAATGAACTGGGCAATGATCGTATGCAGCACCCCGACATCTTCAAGTGTCGATAAGACTCATGCACTGATTCGTGTCTAGCTTCATGGATGGACCACCCTCGAGATCTATTCCTGATGGTGAATCACTTTCGTAAGCATATGAAGCGCCCTATCGTGGGCATGGGACATAGCATGGGTGGCAACAACTTGATCAACTTGTCCCTCATGCACCCAAGGTTATTCACTTCCTTCGTTTTCATGGATCCCGTTATTCAGAAGGAAGCCACGCTTTCAGGAACCTTCAACGTCGCGAAAGCTTCTGCAGGTCGAAGAGACCGCTGGCCAAGTAGGGAAGCTGCAAAGGCATCATTCAAACGATCAAAGTTCTACCAGACCTGGGATCCACGAGTTCTCGACAGATGGGTCGAGCATGGTCTGCGCGAGCTGCCCACAGCCATCTATCCAGCCATTCAGGCGTCTTCCAATACGCTATCGACCATCTCTGCGGATCCAACAACGGCATCTGGTGTACCGGACAAGAATTCCGAGACAGAAGTGACACTTAAGACGACGAAGCACCAAGAAGTTCTCAGCTTTGCTCGCGCAAATTTCCCAACGGCAGAGTTTCCTTATCCCATCTCCGAGTCGAATCCTTCAACGCATCCGGACATGCCGCTTTCAAAGAGCGCGAAGGCTCCTTTCTACAGGCCAGAACCAATTACGACGTTCACAAAGTTGCCGTTCGTCAGACCAAACGTGTTATATCTATTTGCCGACCAGTCAGACATGTCCATCCCAAGTATGAAGGCGGACAAGATGGCAGCGACTGGCGTTGGGGTTGGTGGWTCTGGAGGCGTAAAGCAGGGAAGGGTGGCTGAAGTAACGTTCAAAGGCGTTGGTCACTTGTTCCCCATGGAGATAACCTCTCAAGCCGCTGAAGCCGCTGCTRAGTGGATTGCGCCGGAGATAGAGCGATTCCGCAAGATCGAAGAAGCTCACCGACAAGAGTGGAGTCAGGTGCCTAAAGAGCAGAAGAGCTTGATGAGTGAGAAGTTCAAAGAGGTGATGATGGGAGACTGGAAACAGTATCAAGTGGAAGCACCAAAGACAAAACTTTAATAGTCTCTGTGGTGGAAAAACTGATTGATCGATCCCCCGGCCCAAGTCTTCCTTATCAAGCTCCACCCTGATTCTCAGCACTCTTCCCGGCGAACCGCTTTCAAATGAGTATACGTTGGCCGTCGGCGATAACAAGTCGCACCAACTTCAGGAGACTCAGTTCAAGTGAGGTAGTCGCCCTCCTCGCTCTTGGCCTCCTGCTTGACCTTCGGCTTCTTGGTCGGCGTCTTGAATGGCGTCTTGGTCTCCTCGTCGTCCTCGTCGCGGGCGCAGCTTGCATTTTCAGACTCAGCAGCGCTTGGCTCCTCGGCTCTCTCTGTTTTATCAATCAGCATGTGAGTCAAGTTTATCTCGACAGAAAAAGAAATCTCACTGCGCTTCGAGGATGCTGGCGTCGCGGATTTGCCTCCACCATTCTTGGGCTTGGACTTGACCGGGGTCACGTCGACGTTGATTTCGCCCTTGGCGATCTGTTCGTTGATCTCTTTGGCGCGAGCTTTGACGGCGCGGAAGCGGTGCTCGTAGCCACTCTTGGTGGTGGAGCCATCCATCTTCGCCATCAGGGCGAAGTGTTGTGCGCCCACGGTGACGCCGGAGCTGAGGAGAGATGCCAGGAGACAGCTCACGATCTCGAAGGAGAAGGTCTGGTCGGTGGTTGCGGTTGGAGCCATGATGGTCTCGGGTGGATGATTGAGTGGGTGATGGAATGAATGGTTGAGTGTTGATGGGATTGGAAACCAAAAGTTGATGATGTTGAAGAAAATAAGAGGAACTTCGAGCGGAAGAGAAGGGCGGTGGTGCTGCGAGAGACTTATAGGCATCCGCTGCGGGGGTCTTCGAGGAGCCAATCATAAGAGAGCAGCGAGGTGAGGCACTGAGTGAGCAAGCAAACGCATTCTCATCGGGGATCGAGACTTAATCTTGGTGACAGCCTCACCAATTTCATCCTTGTGTCTCCGTTTGCCATCTTTAGATGTGCCTCTTCGGGTTTTCACCTGCAGCTTTCGGCCTGGAGTTGCCTTGAGACAGCTGCTGCTTGATGTTGAAGCATCTGAGAAGGTCATGGAAGATCTTACTGGAGACTGCAGACTTTCTTTCACCTACTCGAAGCTAATAGTCTCATCGTTGGCTATATGCTCTGATCACCGTGGTCGATTTCGGCCCCTTTTCGACTCGATAGCATCTTTCCACACCGAATGACCTCTAAGGTGAGCTTCTCGCAACTACAATTCGCAACCGTCTTCGTCCCGCTGCTCTCCAAGGAGGTCCTTCATGCCCCTCCAAGTCGTCGCTGAGCGCGATGTCCACAACCGTCAATATCGAAGGGGCGACACTCAGGCGTGGTGCTTCACCGTATCGTCTTTTACCAGTCGTGACAGTCCTCTCCATGGTGAGAATCCCCGTAGAGACCCGCATCTGGTGCTGTGATTGGAAGAAGTGCCCGCGTATCTGATAAATACATGTGATCTGCCGTCCTCCCACGACTTCCCACACTCCAAACGCTCTCGAAGGGAAACCTGAGCAGTGCTTCAACTAGGGCGGAGGCTATGTAGCGAGTACATGCTCAATAAGGCAGAAGTAGGTAGTGAGCAGTCCGTGTATCTCCCGGCGGCAGGAGAAGTCGACTTGCGTGTAACAGCTTGGCTTGAATTATCTTCTGTTTTACGATGTGCTCGCCTTCTTTGTATCTGGCTCGTCAACTGCAGCCTGAGCAAAGAACTTCGCCTTCCCCAGCGCTTTGATAACCCGCAGCGCTAGTAGATCCTCCCCAACATGCTCCTGCTCCACCAGACGCTGGAATATGCTCTTCCGTTCGGTCGTTCTGCTCTCCATAAGCTTCGCGTCGTGTGCATCACTTTCGGCTTTGCGTCGCTGTTCCCTCTCCTGCTGCTCTTTCTGGGCAGTCTCCCTGTAAGCACTTCCAGTGCCTCGCTCGGGCAACTCATGCTTGAATCGGCAGGATTCGCCATCTCGGCATCGACCGGTGGCAACATAGTCCCGACAGAGGATTTTCTTGGTGGCTGGAATGTCGTTTGATTGCTTTGAGCTGACTTCCTCTGGGGGTCCATCGWCATCTGAGTCCGAAGAATCCGAACTGATAATAGAGGAATCTTCTGAGCTTGAAGACTGAGCAGAATCGGCTTTTAGGGCGTCTTCTTCGTCGTTTTCCTGCTGCTCAGGATTTTCTTGAACGTCTGAAGAGTTTTGACAAGCAGGCGCCGACTCTGGAACAGGAACAGCGGTAGGCAATCCCAATGCTTCCGCCTGGGCTTGAGCCTCCGCAGCTTGCAGGTCGCCAGCATTGGCTTTTGCGAGTGCCAGTTTCGCCTCGCTCTTGGCGACTTTCTTTCTCAAAGCAGCGAGAGATTCCGTTTGAGTAGCCAATTCCTTCTTCGCCTTCTCGAGCTTGTTTTCCGGCAGAACAATGGGAGCTGGTCTCCTGGCTATACGAAGAGCTCTACTCGCCTCGAACAATAATCTCTTCCTCTCAACTCCCAATTGACGCTTTTCCTCCAGCTTAGCGGCCATGCGAGTTCGCGTGGGATAATTTCTCGCTCTCTCCTCCTTCCACRCAGCAAGGTCTGCAGCTGACTTTAGTGACAAAACTGTGCCATTGTGCTCGAAAGTGAGGCTGGCACCGGCCTCTGCGAACATGGCTTCCTCGTCGACATCCTCTTCGTCATTATCACTCTCCGAGGACGAGTACTGCATTTCGCCATGAGGGGTAAGTCCTAGAGCGTTTGTAGCCCGCTTGGGCGGTTGAGCCCGCTGCAAGCTCTGAGCTGAGCGGAGTGGTGGAGGCAGGGCCTGGCGTAGACCGATAGGAGCACCAAAGCTGGGCACAGAAGGAGCCGTTGGAGTGTCTGCTGTCTTCGTCTCAGTCTGCAGGGGAGGCGAGCCTCGGAGTGCATCGAGTTTGCGTTTGTGGCCGGCCAACGTTCTCGATGGAGTCGGAGTAGTATTTCTGAGCTGGTTTTGTCCAAGGCTCGGAAGGTTCACATTTCCTTGAAATGCAGGGTTGATGTAGGCTCCTGGTGGAAGTCCATGGAAAGAAGGTACCGGCTGTTGACGGATTGGAGGATTGGACTGTACATTTTGTGATTGAAATACATTATTTCCGCCTCGTCCACCGCGACCTCTGTTTCCGTTGTCGGATCCTCTGGCTTGCCCTCGTCCTCTTCCTCTGCCACGGCCTCGGCCTGAAGTTTCGGATTGTTGATATTGATTCTCCGGCGTCCACGRAGCCTTCGGAGGTGGCGGCGGCGGTGGTGGAAATTGGAAGCCACTCATGTTGATTCCACGTAGATCATCTTAGGATGTTCCAAATGGACAATCTAGCTGATGTAAGGAGGAGGTTGAAGTGAATAGAAGTGGATTTTGGTAGACTTTCGGCTCGCGGCGTGACACCCGATTGGTGTGCCCATCAGCACTAACCTTTTCTTCCACCATCAGGGCAGTCTCCCATCTCTCGTGTCACAACACACTTCACATCRTGCGACGATTTCAATTATGATAACAAGACATTTCGCTTCTTTCATCTGTCACCTCTGACCAATCACTCTCAAGCATCCTCTGCACGGTCATCACAATGTTCACCCTGGTTTGATGCCCCAACTCCGATTTTACGATATTTACTCACAAAAATCACAGGTCACCCTGGCAGACGTCGTGCAAATTGCGCCCAAAGACTTTGCAAAACCCAGTATTCGAGCCATTGAGGACTTCATCAACAGCAAATATGCCGACAAAGTGATCCATAAGGTGGGTCTCTGCWTCGGCTTCCACTCCCTCATCTCCTCCTCGGAAGGTCTCATAGGTCACGGAACCGGAATTGTAAATGTCAACGTGGACTTCAAACTCATCGTCTTCCGGCCCTTCAAAGGGGAGATTATTCGCGCAACCATCACGCAATCCTCACCAGCCGGAATTTACCTCTCCGTGGATTTCTACGAAGATCTAGTGGTACCACCGGAGACACTGTTCGAGAACACCACCTGGGAGAAGGACGAGAGCGATACTTGGGCTTTTGTGTGGAAGTCTGATGATGGGAATGGAGGGGAGAATGCATTTTACTTTGATAATGCCGAGAGCTGCATGATGCGGATCGAAGACGAGCAGTGGAATGACGTCTCGCCCGATGCGTTGAGATCGCAAAACTATGAGACGCAGGAGGAAGAGGACCAGGCGAGACGAGCCCCGCCGTATCTTATTCGGGGGAGTATGGCGCTTGCTGGACTGGGACCTACGCTTTGGTGGACGGGTGAGGGCGCAGAGCCCGCTGTGGATGGTGGCGAGGATGAGGTTATGAATGGGACTTGAGGGAACTTCAAGTCATACCACGAAGGCAGTCTTCCGCCAATCTGACTCCGGGCCGTCAGCTCACAACACATTGTGTTGCGAAGAGTTCATGGCTGAGCTGTGATCACGAGATGGTGTTCCTGAGCCGAAGATATCGGGAGGGCGTAGCGCCTCGCGGCCTGGCGGTTAACTTGGGAGCTTTCAGGACCCACTGAGTGGAGCACAAGATGCTCTCCTCGCCAGACATGCGTGCAGAGCCGTGTCAAGGGCTGAGAAGACATTGGTCCTGCAGAGATGTGCGATGCCATGGCATTCAGTGTTGATCACATGCAATTCATTGGGATGGAAAGACATGAATATGAAGATAAAGGTGCATGTTGCGAGTGGCATACTATGCACATCCGAGTCTGCTATCTACCTGTTCCGAGGAACAGCGGCCCAGTCCTTCTCATGCTAACGCCTTCGAAACTCATACTCCGTCCAGGTCATGCCTTCATCATAGTGGTAGTGGTACAAAAAGCCCAATTGCGCCTTCGCTAACCCAGTAAAGCGCTCATCCCGTGCCATTCCTTCCATCATATTTGCGCGGTGGAGGGGTTCTGGCTCTCAGCGGTCCCAGCACCAGCTCCTGGACCTAGACTGCCCGGTTCCTCGTGATCGCCATTCAATCCTCTTGCCCGGCCGAGTCCCATCGCCCACTTCATCTGCTTTACAACCGTGTCCATCTCCGTGCTCAATTTCCTCGTCCTCTCTGCTTCCTCCTTGGACTCCATCTCCGCGCTCTGCATTCTCGCCGTAAGCGCGTCTTTCAATTCGCCCCACTTGCCGAGCATCTCCGCTTGCACTTTCTTCGCTCGTTCAAGTTCCTGTCTCATCTGCTCGCTTACAACGTCCAGCCTCTCCAACCTGGCCTCCTGCTCCTCCCTGTGTTGCTTCAGGGCGGCAACCTCTTTTCTGGTAGACTCCAGTCTTGTCTTGTACGTCGTGCTCAACTGCTTGTGACTCGTCTCCAATATTGCTGCATGAGTGGTGGCATGCTTCTCGCTCTCCATGAGATTCTGCAGCTCCCGCCTCTTCTCCTCGACAGCCTCGTCTCTCTCCGTCTCCAGAGCCTGCGACCGTGACTCGAAGCCTTCTCTTCTCTTTCTCTCGGTCTGTAGGTCGGCTTTCAGCTCAGCAATCATGCGGTCGCGTCTCGCAAGCAACGCATTGTCGACACCCCGTGCGTGAGTAAGGTTATCATTCTCAGCCTGGAGCGCATCGATTCTAGGTTTCGTGACTTGTAGTGACCGTTGCAGTTCCTCGCCTTTGATGATTTGTTCTTTGAGCTCGCGTTTCAGCCGGTCGTTGTCCGTCATGAGCTTTTCTATTACTCGGCCTGACTTTCCGCCTGTAGTCGCGTGGCCCACAGCAGAGCTCCAGGGAAGGCTGCCACCACTGTCGGAGACTGGCGAAGGCGGTGCATTCTCAGAATTGGGCGGCCGGGAGAGGGAAGAGACGTCGCCCGAGGTGCGGCGGGTGCCATTGGGAACGGGTGTGAGGAGAATATTGCTGGGTGTGGTCGCACTATTCTCAGCCTTGCCATTTGGCGACGAATTGTTGCTGAAGTGGTAGCCGCTCATTGCGACCTCGGGGAGAAGCTGGCCTGCAGAGTAGAGCGGTGGTGGTGAGTCCTCATCGGTCTTGGTCGGCGGGGTCGCTGGTGGCTGAGGCTGAGGCAGTGGTGGCAGGTGTTGCAAGGACGCGCGAGCGGCGAACTCTGTAAATGAGCGTCAATGGTTAGTTTCTGTTGGTTTTGGTGGTGCAGCGCGTCGTGAAACACAGGTGTGAGTGAGCAATGCCCGGTGCGCACGCCAGGGCAACGACAATTCTGGCGATAGTGTCGAACGGCAAGCGAGATCGACAGGCGGCAGATCAACCCATGCGCGTCCTGGCGTGACCGATCGGCGACGGCCAACAAAGGCCATCTTTGGCGTTGCCGCTTCTATTGAGAGTGTCTTTGGGCGCAAGAATTAGAAGTAAAAAAAAGGTGTCACATACCACCTGCGAGCGAGAAGAAGGTGTCACTGTCAGTAAAAGTATCGAGCCGGATCGTGTGGGAAATCGAATTGGGCCTTTTCATACGCAGTTTGGAGGCCATCGTCATCTTCGGCGGGGTTGTTAGAAATGCCGTCGAGTTTGAGAGAGCTGTTGCGCTGTTAGTGGTTGTTATTGCCAGTCACGCAAGAACTGTGCAATGTTGTGGTGAGAAGGTGAAAGCAAGCTGCGAGAAAGAAATAATAGCACCACGTCGACGTTACTCAGACTGTTTGCGTTTCATTTCACGAGCTGTCTCAAACAGGGTCGCTACCGGTAGCTGATAAGGCTCCCGTACCGGCAACAGCGGGAGGACCCTTTCCTTATGCCGATCGCGGTATACCTATTTATGCATGGCACCCTCTCCACGGTGATGCCAACTCAGGCTGGCATTGGGCAGCGCGGCACTCCACAATGTGAGCCCAGTCCAGAGCCATATGCACGGCATGCGGCGACCCATCAATCCTATGACTCGGGTCCCTCTAGGAGGTTGAGCACCTCCTCGACAAGCCCTCTCGTCGTCTACAACGTCGCCCCTGCAGGTGTGCCAGGTACCAGGTATGCTGCCTAAGCCTCCTCCTTTTTCGCAGCATCTTCCTTCAAGACATCAGGCCTGTACTTCCCCAATATCTTTCCCGCCGCGCTTTTGGCGTCCGCATTTTCCCTCCACAACTTTTGCACGCAATCCAACACCAGCTCCCTCACGGGGGGCCTAAACATGACCAAGTAAAGCAGCRCATTGCAGCTGATGGCGACCCGCTCTGGATCCTCCGCAATCTTTCTCACCCGGTCTAACACGCTGACATTCACCGCCGGAATCTCACTCAGAACCCGAATGATGATCTTGCCATCCTTCACATCAAGGTACGGGAGAATGTTGTCGAACAGCCTCAGTAACCAGGGCCAATAATTCGGCAAATCCCCATCCCCTTCCTCGGCGGCTCCATCCTGCTGTCGCTGTTTGAGCAGCAAGCAATCTGAATACCACTCCTCGTTTAGCCATATGATGGCCACCTCGATACGGGTTCGGAAGCTCTCCATGACATAGTTCAACAGCGTCTCCCGAATTCCATCCGAGAGGTTGAATGCTGAGCCTTTCTTGTTCACTGTCCTCGTCTCGCCCTCGGTCTTGATGGCACTTCCTTCAAGATCGAAACTTGCCCGCGTCGCAAGTCTTGTCACGAGCGTGATCCAGCCTTCTCGGTCATGTCCTGTGGGATTCGCAGCAACTAATCTATTGAAGCCGTGCTCATTTGACTGCTTGCCCTTCGTCTTTGTATCCTTGTCCAGTTCTGCCAGTGTTCCAAACACCCGCGTGAGTGCTGTTTTGCTGTACTCGTCTCGAGCCTGTTCGTTGAGCGTTGGAGGTGCCGGCMGGTTGAAAGATCCCACCGCGACTGAAGTGGTGATCTCCTGTGGAGGTGCTTGATCCAGTCTGTCTAGGACTTGATCCGTTGCGTCGCCCAGAGAAAGCGTCGGGTCGTAGTCGTCGTCATCGTCTACTGTTCCCACTACATCTGCAGCGACCGCCAGCGCAGATGCAGGAGCTTGGCGACTGACGCTCAACCACCGTGCTCGGACTACGTTGATCGCGTCGTTCAGTTTGTCTTGGGAGAAGGATTGGAAGATAGCTGGGACGAGTTGGGTGACGGCCTGTGCGGGTAAGCGCTCGGCATGAAACGTGTTTGCTCGGGCATCTGCTGTGAGCGTCCATAATTGAGCGATGGAAACAGGCCCTGGTGGTAATGGTGGGTAGCTGGGAGGCTGTGGTTGTTGTGGTGGTGGAGGCGGCCTTTGCAATTGTGTAGCACCGTTGGTGACAGCATTGTCCAGACGTTGTCGCTTTGCGTCGTCGAGACCATCGATGGGCTCGTTGGGCGCGGGGCGCTTGAGGTGTTGTATCGACAACGCCTCTGTCAAGTGGTGCTTTAAACGCTCCACCTGTTGCTGCAGTCTCAAAGCGAATGTGCTATTGGGATTCCTCTTCAGGCAGTTGAGCAGGAAGGACATGGTGGTCCTTGTCATACTGCGAATGGCAATCTTCTCCTGGCCACTCATTGGCCTGCCCGCGAGTTTGAGCGGATTGAATTGTAGAACAGTAGCGAGAATTTTGCTCGAGACGCTCGCACGCTTCTGCACAAGGGTCGCAAGAGCGTTCAGAGTGGCCGTCACAATCAGAGGGTCGGTCATGTTGTCTTGAAGCACGCCCAACAATCTATCCAGCAATCCAGAAGCCTCAGCCTCTAGATTCGCAGGCGGGACGATGGGATGGTCCCGCGGCACCAAGGCCAGACTGATCTCGTACTCTGGCCTCCTGGGATCTGCAATCAAGCCTGGAGTCTGCGTTTGTACCACACACGCCACGAACTTGATGCAGCACATCCTCACACCAGGCCCGGTCGTGTCCATTCTGCGCAAGATGCTACTCTTGATGCCGGCAATCTTCGCCCACGTCTCACTATCTGCAGGCGTGGTCGCGGTATGTCGAAAGACAAACTCGTAAATGCTCGCAGCGCATTGCACAGCGCTTTTCACAACATTCCTGTCCTCGTCCTCGCCCATCGTCTCCTTCCTGCTCAAGTAGCCCTTGATTGTGTCGAGCACAGCCAGTGACATCTGCTGCTTTTCATCCCGCGTCACCACCTGCGATGCAAACGTCTCCGCGAGAAAGTCGGCGCCCCATCGTCGCAGCTCGACGTGGGCAGCGGGCGCAATGACTTGGATGATGCCCGGGACTACTTGAGGATACAGCGTATGGTCCCGTAGCAGGATGTCGCGCGCGGACTTTAGCGAGTGCACGGTATCTGCCAGTGAGGCCATGGCCGACAACACTGCGAGCGAAAGGGCACGCTGCAGCCTGCGTGGTTGTTGTTGATGGAGTCACGAGGCAACACAAGCAGCTATGTATTTACAATCTGCCTCCAGGATTCAGTCAGTACGGTACTGGGTGGGTGATCATCGCCAGTGGAAGGCGGTGCTGCTGGTGATGTGAAGTGCACGCGACGGCAGGTTGACGAATTCAATGGGTGAAGACCAGAGTGAAGTGTTAGCTGATGTGGTGGTGCAAGAAGGCCCGGGGACGTGTCGGGGGAGCTCGCTCGTGATCGCGGAAGGTTACGCGAGCATGCAAGATGATGATGATGAACTTCAGTCCAACCGCCTCTTGAACAATAGTCACCGCCGACATGCCTCTCGGAAGGTATGTATAGGTAACCTTCTATGATCATACAATCGACATCTGACCTCGTTCTAGAATACCCCAGTCATCGTACTACGACAAGAACAACCGACCCTCCGCCGCCCTTTACCGAGCGCGACAGCCATACCTCGTCAAGAATGCGTTCACAGGCATTGCCATGGTCGGCTTTGTAGCGGCTGTTTGTATGTGCCACACAATAGCGCCTTTGTATTGGAGGACAAGAGAGTGCTGACTCTTCGCAGATACATGGACGATTCGCGCTGTCGGCCAGGATGAGTTCAGCGATGTCCCAATCCCAGATGCTCCTGCGCAAGCAGCGAGTGCCCCACACACAACCATGGTGAAGAGCGCGGGAAGCTCTCAGTGAGGGTCATGATATAATCCATCCATGGATTGATTTCAGCGGCATTGGGGGGCGTTCGGGGTGGTTGTACATATCCGGTATTTAGGGCAGGCTGTCATGATGCGCAAACGCTGGGGCCGGACGATTCACAGAAACATGCAAGCATAGAGTTATTCTCCAATGCGTTCGCTCTGATTCAACGAGAGAGCTTTGGAGTGAGACAGYCGCACGACAAGGGCATTTGCGCTTACAAGCGTAGGAATGGACGCACAATCACATGTGGTCCCCTTTGGTTCTCTGGAGTTATCGTCGCACGTGCAATATTGCAAAATGCCTCTTCATTCACAGCCTCTGCCCTGGTATCTACAACAAAAGAACCCTTCCAGTCCATCTTCCCTCATGAACCACTGTCAGCAGCGGCGGGTGTGACCTTTAGGTAGTCCGGTACAGGTTGCTCGGCCGGCACTCTGTTCTCCCTCAACTGCTGCAGCTTCTCCTCCTGCGCGGCAAAGGCCTCCTTCTCGTACTTCGCGATGAGCACATCGAGGTTCGCACTGCCTTGTCCTGCAGGGACGTTCCAAGGGCTGCCATGGTTGAATTGCCTAGGCACATCATCAGCATGCGCTCCGCGCTGTGGTCACAACCGATCCCGGCTACAGCGTCACGTACTCGGGGTATCTCAAGTCCACATGGCGTGTGGTGTTATTGGCCTCGTGAATGAACAGCGACCGATCAGCAGCCGCCTGTTCCATAGCCTGCGTATGCAAATCGTTTCGCTGCGCCCATTGTGTCTTATAGTCCGCGTATGTGTCCTGAATTAGGCGGGTGAAGTATGGCTTTTCGGACGTGCCCTGACCGGTGAATTTATAGACTGCGAGAGAGAGCGGAATTGCAGAGATACAGATGTAGAAGCCAGCCTAAGAAGGTCTTGTGTTAGTACATCTGTATGCGCCAACTTGGGCTTGCTCTTCTCACGCCGTAGCTTTCGTTCGCGGGTCCGTGGCTATCGTGACTGTGGGAACCGTGGGAGTCCGACGCCTGGCGTCTCGAGGTCAAGTTCTGAGGACGCAATCGCCGTGCGACGGTGCGTGCTGTTCGTAGAGGCAGCATGATGTGCGGTGTGTGAGGTTGTATCTGCGCATTGGGGAGGGATTGGGGTGTGTCGTTGCTGCTGTCCCCGCACGGACCATTCGATGAACTTCACGTCGATTGTCTCACTTCAAGTTCAGCAAGTCACTCTTCCGCTACAGAAGCGCTCAGGGAGATCCTGCGCAGCCGCCGGATATCACCTTGACGGGGAAGCGTCTCTCTGTGAATGGCCTCCGCATTCACATTGGGCTACCGCTATCGCACTCTCTGATGTTTGCAGATGCTGACGATCCAGAAAGAAGGACATGCATTTTGAGTGTCATGAGGCATATTCTAGCGGAATGAGCGCGGAAACTTGTACACAGAGAGGTCAGAGTCTACACAGAAGAAGTAGCCCGTACCTGGCCCATGAGACTCCCAATGGCCACGAGACCCGAAYCGTGCTCAAGATGATCTCAAGCAAGCTCTGCGGATCTGGCGTAAGCACACCTGATGTTAGTTATGTTCCAGAGCGTATCCCGCATATTGGAGGTCRTCGTGCAGCACACTTGTAAGGTACGGCGCCGCCTGCTCATGTTGCTTGTCCTAACGTGGTTCATCCGAGCTCGGTTCACGCAAATTGGAAGCAATGGATCGATGGAGAAGCACTGCGGTGCTGGCACGATGCGACTCCTCGAGTTCTGTGGTCAAGGTCTTCCCTTACGACGGAAGGAAAATCAGGGAGCGAGCTCGCGAGTAGCAAGCCTTCGCCTGAAGGCTGAATGTTTAAATTTGGGGGCCAAAGGATACATGCCAGTATTGATTACAGCTATGAGCGAAACCAGACCGGATCCCCGCAGAACGCTCTTCTTCGAGCACCTCTTGCGAAGCGTGCTCGGGTGATCAACATAGGGATCGAGATGCCGTCAAGATGGCTCAATATCGAGAGCCTCGTCCTGTGGAGAGTCGGTAGCTACAGCAGGTGAACATATGGATGAGGTTCTGACCGCTTTGAGGGTTGCGAATTCTATGAGTGAGTACTGAGCTTCTCTATCTTCAAAACACAAATCCACGCCTTGTTCCTCGCTTTGCCGCGGCGTGGGCTACTATTCCCTCCCATCATGCCCTATATTGCAAACAGTGCATCGTCTAAAGTATGCTGATAGATCGCGCCTCGTCATCTTGCGGTCGCCCTGCACGTTCCTTCCTCGCCCCACCTCCACCTCCACCCCACCTCTTACTCTGCTCCAGCACCGCCGTGTCCCATCCACATCACATCACGCATCATCCGCCATGATGACCATCGACAGTGCCCCAAAGGAGGGCACCGCGCACTACTTCCACGCATCTGTTTACAAGTTCACGATGATCGCCCGCACCGCTGTTATCACAACGTTTCAAGCAAAAGTCGGCAACATCGCCGCGCACTGCAAATACAACACAAAAAAGGATGTTAGTATGACCCTGCGCCCAAGAAGCGACCTGGCTTCATATCGTACAACTCTCGTCATGATCCCCAGGGAGTGCAGCCACTTCGAGGTGCTAATCGGGTAACCTCTCAGATATTTATGTTGGCGTGTCCAAGCTCGCAGGGCGCTTTCTGTGACGAGGTGCTGTACGATGTTTTAACTCGATACATCGATGAAGAATTGGCATCAGCGCACCGCGATCGTCGATTGCCCGAGGTGCATCAATTCGCGGAGAGTAAATGGGAATGGGAGCAGGATCGCGAGGAGGAATCAGACTGCGTTGCCGACGAGGACGCCCCGCGAGTATTCCGTCCCCAGGCCGTGACCTCACACACCATAATGGCCACAGGAGAGTGCAGGAAACTCAAGTTCTTTCGGCTACACGAACTCCCCGAAGCATTCTTGCGGCGCACTTTGTGTCCACGCAGCAACACTTCATTCTCCAACGTCATAAATGGTCTGACGTGCYGAGCTGTGTGCTGGCAAAACAATGAGGGGTATCTGTTCAACGGATGTGACGGCGCGGAGTCACTTCGTGGAAGCAACAATTACCAGCAAGTGGAATATCCAAAGTTTCCGGTTCTAAAAGACACGAGGGATCAGGCCGTCCTAGACGAGCTCGACCGCGAAGAGGCAAAAAAGGCTGCGGCTAGCCAGACACAAGCTCGTCTCCCTGGTCCTGGAGTCGACAGTTGGCTCGAAGCAGTTGATCAGACAGAACAGGTGACACCCGATGAGGCGGCGGATTTGCCAAAGGCAACCAAAGGAATGCTGGCAGCCGATGAGATGCATGGCTTTGGGCGACCAAGAGTCCCCATCGGATTCATGCCTGGCATGACAGAGCAAGATGATCCTTCCGATGACGAGCAAGCTCCAAGCGTGGCCAGGGCTCCGTTTGAGGTACTGATGCTGACCGGAACACCGGGGAATACTATACTTGTGAGAAGTTTGTCGAGCTCAGAGACGAGCTCGGTGAGCTCGGATTCCGAATCTACGGCTGAGATAGGAGCGAGAGGTGCGCGGGGCGATTTCGCCTCTCTGTTGCCCGTGGGTGAGAGCAACGAAACGCCCCTGAAAGTTGGCGAGCGGCCAGCGATCCCCAACCCTGCGCAGATGTCTGGTCCTCCAGAGCATTTTCAATTCCAGCRGCGTGCAGATCCCACCACCACAATCTCAACTACCCGAAAGGCGATGGCCCCACCGTCTACTGTACAAGACCCCGCCGAATTCACTGCGTATGACAAGAAGTACGCCGTAGTTGATAACTATGGCCTCACCGCGAATCCTACTCTCTCTGCATTGCATGCACTGGAGAATGACGTGCCAATTCCCGTGAAGGCGAAGCGCCAGCCTGTCGCACCACGGGTCAGGAAGCCTCAGACAGACGTCGACGACAGCGCCCACTCGAAAATTGGTTCGATATCGAAATCTGTTGCGTCCACCTCTGCTCTTACTGCGCACGGTAACAGCAAGTCTGCCTTCCCAGCAACGTGGGAGCAGAATATCAACAGCGGCAGGGCCCCCACCATTGGGCTGATAGATGCTACGTCGACGCCTCTGTCGAGACCTCTGAGACCACCGCCTGGCTTTGAAAACATTTCAGAGAATCACCGTCAACGTGATGTGCCATCGACCCTACACACTGTCTCCCACAGTCTCGTCGATACAACTGAAGTCGGTCTTATGGATAGGTCGCCTCCTCGCGTAAACACAGCTCAGAGGCCAGCATCGAGCAAGATCCTGCAGCCGAAATTGTCCACAAGCAGGTCAGCTAGTGATACCGAAATTCCTCTTGACAAGTTGGCCGTCTTCCCGCCAGCCTTCGATCGCAAGCGCAATACCATGAATCAAAAAGCCGGAAAGAATGTCAAGAGCAAAGGCAAAAAGTTCTCAAATGCCGGCGGAAAGAAAATCGTTGCGGAGCTTCCCAAACCTGATCCTCTACCTGCTCCGCGAGAAAAGAAGGTCATCGAGGTCGCAACACCAAACTCTAGAAAGCAGAGCATGCTCAAGCCTGGCCAGCGAGCCAAAGTCGATGCTCCGCCACCAATCCCAAATGAGTTCCAGCGGGTCCTTTCCGAGATCATTGAAAAGCAATCATCATCGGACAATGAGGACGATGACAATATGTCTACAAACAAAGCATGCAAGCTGCTGCTGAAGTTTTGTCAGCTCTTACTCCTGCCCGATAGTGTCGACTTCAGCAAGCGAGCAGCTTCATCGCCCGAAGTCATCCAGGAAGCCATTGCATCTTCCAAGCCTGACGTACACTACTTCCCACGTCTTACGAGCTCAATTCTTGATGCGCACAAGTTGATCGAGCTCATGGGAGCTGGTGTGACACCCGAATTGGTTTACGAGGTCCGCATCAAGGATGCTACAGGTGTAACCTTGCTCTGTAAGATACCAGCACGCGACAAGACTCKCTTTACCATCAAGCCTCGTGACGACACCCTCGGTAAGTTACTTTGTATTGTCGCCCCTTCCATTCCAAGGAAAGACACTGACCTCGCGAAAACTAGCGTGCGAGTTACTACACTACCCTACCCACGTAAGCTGAATCATCCAGATTTTTGGTCATATCTGATTTGTCCAGGACATTGCTGACCTTCATTCTAGGTATGGGACGCCAGAATGTCACTCGCTCAGCCTCGCGTGGACCATGAGTCGCGCTCGCATGATGCAATCGTGCAATTCGTTTCTTCAATGTCAACAGAGGACATCACACCATCGTTCTGTGCATGGGTCGCTCCTGGATCGTTCGATGTCGAAGCAGTTGAGACCCACCGCATCTTTGAGAACGAACAAGACAGTATCACGTTCCGGGTGGTCGAGAAGCAACACTTGATGATTGACGAGGGCTTCAGAAACGGTCGATACAATTTTCGCGCAGTATCATGTGCAGACGAGGCCGAGATGGTCTACGAGCAGCGTTCGTGGTGGGAGGCCATGTTGGAGACCACCGAGCTGGAGAAGAGACAACAAGTACAAGACATCGCGACTTTTATAGTTGAGACGATCGATAGTGTTGGGTTGCAGAATGAAGGTCCGTGGATGGTGGCCGGTGAGGATGAGGAGGAGAAGCACGCTGCTCCTGCTCTGCTTTACGACGACTTGGGTCGAAAGCATCTCGCGGAGAAGAAGAATCGTCGCTATTAGCACGAGGAACCACTCAGGTGGCTCTTGTGTTGTGCTGACTGAGGAGAAACGATCGTTGACGAAGAGGCCGTATCGCACGCAATATGCATGCGCAGTATAAATTAGCGCACTGTCCACATGAGATAGAACTTGCTCCGCGTTAACTGCAAGCCTACAGATCAGTGAAGTAAAAGTCAACTGTAAGATTACTCCTAGCCTCGCCCACCAATCCGATCCATTGCATGTGACTATATACTACAAGAACATTTGAGCTGCTACTAAATATTACCAATGACAACCATGAATTTTAGCTTGGTTCGCCTCGAACTCTCCTTTTCTCCGAAAGTTTCACCACTATCCTCGCCATCCTCATCAGTCATACCTTCATCAAGCATTAGTGTACTACTCTTCCAACCCCAAGACTGAGCGTAATTGAACAAATCCGGAGCCGATTCATACACCGACAGCATTCTTCCACCCCGGGATGGCGAGTAGATCTTGAAGTAGGTTTTGATGGTTGGCCTTGCGTCCACGTAAGGCGGTAGAGTGGGTACACGGCGTTTGCTAGATAGTGCAGCGAAGCGCTCTGCTTCGTTGGATATTTCTGTATCGCTGTCCGAATCGTCAAACGAGCCGGAATTTCGTGCGCTACGGAAGCCATCGGAAGCGCTCGGTGGTGACGAATCCAGTATATCGATTTGTCCAGACTTTTGCTGACCTCGTGCAAGCAGATCGCGCATATTGCTGCTTCCGGAGCCTGTCGTGAGCTCTGTGTCTTCCGTCCCTACGGCGCTCTCGGAGCCATCACTATCAACACGGTGCAAGTACACTCCAAGCTGTTTGTTGCGTGAGGCTACCCTCTGAACGTAAATATTCCACAAACTGCCGCAATAGAATACTGTTCGTGAGTATACGCGCTTCTTCTCCTTTAGAAGTCTGGGGTTCGGGAATTCTGCCGCAAAGCGGAACGGCGGATATTTGGTGTAATTCACGGGCGCGGGCTCTGCTGGGCCCTCTGCTGGACCACTCTCGCTCAAAGGGCGTGAGCTAGAAGCGGCGAAGTCTGTTGCCCACTGAACATCTTCTGGATGGATAGTAGCGCTCAGTCTGTTGGCGTGATTCTGAGTACTGTTTGCTGTTGCAATTATTGGGTCTGCGCTGCCACCCATGACCTACGAGTGCGCATTGATTAGCATATACGTAGCAGCAGATATGTTCGTCTGGTACTCACTATGTTGCAGTCACTGCTAGGAATCCAGAACTTGCGTGGCTTCCCGTTACCGTCCCATGATCCACTATCAATGTCATCAATTTCGTCCGATTCGGACACCTTGCGCTTTCCTTTCGGGCGCTCGGGGCCTGAGCTGGCGGCTATCGACATGGTGCTTTCTCGTCCTGCGTTCTGTTCTGTTTCATCGTTGCACTGCATGCTGAGTCCTAGGACAAGCTCAGATTCCCGAGCATTGGTGACCCTCTGTCTTAATTCCATTTGCTGCCACAGTRCATTGCTGACGACCTTCTCCGCCATGACTGGAAGGCCCAAGCAGTCCTTGGAATCCCGGATGATTTGCAGTTGCTCAAAGTCCAAGTGAATGTAGTGAATCCCCTCATCCAGGAGAACTAAAAGCGGCTCAACGTCGGGAGACGTATACAACGTGATCCACGCATGTAGATCGTCGTGCACTCTACCTGCTCCAACGCTAGTTCTTCGATAGACTGCGTCAAACCGCACAGCGAGCAGATTGGCCGCTTGGGGCGCCTTCCGGACTCTCCGCTTAGTTCCTGGCTCGATTAGACCAGATGCGAGTGCGTGAAGCTTGAGTCTGCGATTCAAGATTCGCTTTGCCAGTAGCCATCGCTCCCACTCTCCATCGATGAAAAAACCGTCACCGCCAACAATCTCGCGAACAACATCACCTGGGATCCCATCCCAGAACTTCAGAGGCATTTTCCACCCGTCTCTACAAAGCATCGATTTTGCAGACGCCAGCACTTTGTCTCCTGCTCGTCCATAATAATTGGTGGTAACAAGGCTGATAAGAGGCGACAGAGATTGGGTGGTCATCTGGCGTAGCATAGATTCGATGGATGAATCAACCAAGTCACGCATCTCAAGCCAGCACGCAGTTGCGAACAGACCAGCAGGATCATGGGCTTCCTCGGGAGATACACAGCCGTAAAGACGCCTAAGAGCTAGTTCGAAAGAAGCTTGCGTGATCGAGGCATCAATGTCCTCTGGATGAACAGTCATCTCTTTAGCTTGCGCCTCAAGCCAAGGTTCGCTGAGAGCAGTTGCGAAGAAGGGCGAGCGGTCCAGTATCAATCGATGCAACTTATAGCGTTGGCCAAAGGCAATGACCGTGATGTCGGAGTGTTTCCCAGATAGTAGTCCACGAGTGTACAGGTGGTCTGGCAAGGCAGCGGTCTCCGATTGACGGCTACGGACGTAAGCTGAAGGATGTCGAGGTGGCACCATGTAGGAGGTGCTTCGCGAAGAGCCAGGCGAGGTGGCTTGGAATAGGCGGGAGAGCGCATTGATTGTATGCGAATGCCGACTCGGAGGACTAAGCGCAGATGATTGCGCTGAAGAGGTAGGATCATCGGCATCCTTGATCACTGCAGGAAGACGGCGAGGCCCTGTGGCGTACTGCTCGCTTGGATGGTAAGGAGGCGTTGGAAAAGTCGGTATCCTGGACTCTGAAGGGGACTCTAGAGAAAGGGCAAGGACTGGAGCCGACGCTGGAGTTGGAGTCGAGGTCGAAGTTGAAGCCGAAGCCATAGCTCCATGGTTGAGAGGAGGCCCAAAGATGGATGGCGTAGACGAGGTGAATGGTCCATGCGGCAATACGCTATTGCCTTGCTCGGTATGAGAGGGTAGAGAAGGGCTGTAGTGAAGATGGTTACTGCGAGAAGACGGTGTCTGCGCCTCTCTCTCTTCCTCCGCCTCTGCGTTCAGGTCAGATGGAAAGTCCCAAGCCGACATGGTGGAGGAGTTTGAGCGAGAAAACGCGGACAAGAAGTAGTCGTCTTCGTCGCCGTCAAAATTCTCCATCCCGAGCTTTGTGCTCACGTCGAGCGAGAAACAGGAAAGGCAATAATGGGTACCACGAATAGCGTCAAGTCGGCTCGATGGGCTGCGGATGCGAGCGATCAGGCGTCACCTGCCGTTGCTTGTGCTCGCCGTCACACCATTCCGTCACAAGCATGCAGCCCAAAGGTGCAAAGATAGAGCTGAAGGTGATAAACATTCAGGCTTCCCGCGAGGCCCCGCCGGTGAGATCCTCAAAGTCCGCCGGGTGATGTCGTCGCTCGCCCTATGACCTATGAAGGCGCACGGATGTGGACCCTGCTTGCGCCTGTCGATCTCCCGCAAGTGTTTCCGACAATGATGACTACACCACTTTCTCACTTTCACGACTGCGATTCATCTGCTTCTGCTGCTGTCAAACCCTTTCGCCACTATGGCAACCCTACTCACCATGTCGCCGCTACGGGCAAGGCTGGCCGTTCAAGCTGGAAAGCTCTACCAAGAGACATTCGTCTGCAGGAGATGTCTCACCCAGCAAGCCAAAGCCACCCCTCCGAAGACCTTCAAATCGACACGACAAACGCCATTCTTGACTGCTTTTCGCCAGTCTCAGTCAAGAGCACAAAGTTCGGCGACCGCTCCTTCCAACACATCGCCCCTGGCTGCCCTAGGCCGCAACATAGGCGCGACATCCCGTCCGACGATCCAGACGGCATCTTCGACGTCCTCTTTCCCAGCGACCAGTTCAAATTCTGTCGCATACTGGCTACTGGGATCTGCAGTCAGCGTCTTTGGGATCGTGATCTTTGGTGGCCTTACGAGACTCACTGAATCTGGGCTCAGTATCACAGAATGGCGACCTGTGGCAGGCTCATTCCCGCCTCTCAACCAGGAAGACTGGGAGTSTGAGTTTGCACTTTACAGACTCAGTCCGGAATTCAAAATGTTGAACAGTCGAATGAATCTGGAAGAGTTCAAGCAAATTTACTGGATGGAATGGGGGCATAGGCTGTGGGGACGAGTCGTTGGCATTACATTCCTCCTGCCGACAGCCTACTTTTTCGCCCGGAGGAAGGTCAGTCCGATGATGGCAACAAGACTTGTGGGAATCTGCGGCTTGATTGGATTCCAAGGAGTAATTGGCTGGTGGATGGTCAAGAGTGGACTCAAGGACGATCTGTTTGACACAGGGAGTCATCCTCGAGTGAGCCAGTACCGACTTGCTGCGCATCTAGGGACTGCCTTTGTCGCATACTTGGCCATGCTGTCCAACGGTCTCTACATTCTACGAGAAAACAAAATGCTGAAGAATCCCGCCGAGGCTGCCAAGTTGCTCGAGACGCTTCAAAGCCCTGCACTGAAGCCTTTTAGACGAATGGTTGGAGCACTCTCGGTTCTTGTCTACGTAACAGCAATGTCCGGAGCGCTGGTCGCTGGTTTGGACGCCGGTTTGATCTACAACGACTTCCCATGGATGGGACAAGGCTTGCTTCCACCAAAGCAGGAAATGCTCGATCCCTTCTACTCCCACACGCCCGATCAGAGCGATTTAGTTTGGCGAAACATGCTGGAGAACCCCGTGCTTTGTCAGGTTGATCACAAAGCGCTGGCAACCACCACCTTCACCTCCATCATCGCTCTCTGGGTATACAGCCGGACACGAAGGAGCCTACCAAAAGCAGCGAAGACTAGCATGTTAGGCGTGGTTCATTTGGCCACTCTGCAAGTCGCTCTTGGAATTACAACATTGTGGTACTTGGTCCCTACAGCGCTTGGAAGCGCACATCAAGCAGGTGCATTGGCACTGCTTAGCGGAGTGTTTCTACTTCGCAGCCGTGTCCACGTCTCAAAGCGAACGTTGAAGCTGGTTCAGCAGGCTGTGGCCAAGGGTTCTCGTGCTTGAGGATGAAAGGCAATACATAGAATATATAGACACATGTGTATAATAAACAACGTTCACTTTCAGTTCAATGATAGTAATGCGATCGATGAAAAGCTGCTCCGGCGGTTGGCGATATCCGCAATCTACGTCATTCTAGCTGAAGCGAGTTGCTGAAGCGAGCTGGATAGATTGTGGAACACGAACCCCTGTCTTCCAAAGCAGGATTGCGCAGGCCGAACCGTGGTATGGTCTCGCTTGCGTGTGCATCCATCTTCAACTGATCAGTTTGTCCACGAACCCCCCACATTCTAACTTGCTGAGCACTATCCTGAGATATCCACCATGTCCTCCACCGCAGTCACGAAGCCGCAATCAAAGGAAGTCTACCAGACCCCGGACGGCTCTGGAGTCATCGAAGAGAAGGAGGCTAGTTCGAAGGCCTCGGCTAGCGTAGGCATCATCCTGAGCTTTACAGTTCTTCAAACCCGCTGACCAAAACCATCTAGGCCGGCCTCAATTTGAACGTTTTCGGCGCAGTGGCTGGCATGTTATCCAGTAAATCTTCAAAGTCGACCGATGAAGATGGGAGCATTGTCGAGACTCGAGAAAACCAGGCCCAAGCCCAAGGTAAGGCTGTCCATTCGATGACCTTCGAATCAAGCTGATCTCGAGACCAAGGGGCTGCAGCGGGTAATCTTAATGCCCGGGCAGCGGCAGATGCGGAGCAACATGGCCGCCAGATGCGAGCTGCCATCGAAGAGCGGAATGGTTCATAGCTGTGTAGTGCAGGTGTGATGCTGTGGGCGGTGATATGAATCATGCTTTCCAGACCAGCCGCGATTGTCCAAGTTCTTGGTGTTCGTTCGGTATTGTCATGCCCGACTCGATGGTTCTCAACCCATTTCGCGTTCCAAAGCGACCCATGCGGCTTGTTGTCGGGCTCTCCGCTTCTGAGTCGCAACATCCTCTGCGATTGTCTTCTCCGCAGCAGATGAGCTTTCCGTGACTGATTGCGCCAGAGCGCCCTCTTGTATTCCCTGTAGCAACTTGGCCAATTTTTCCTTCGATTCGTCTATAGCCTGATTCTCCGCCTTCATCCTCTCCACCCGCTCCTCCATGATAAGAATGAGAGACTCGCGAGCCTGATGGGGACGATACTGATTGATGAGATCATGCATATTGTAGGTGATGGTCTGCAGATCCGTGACAGTCTCTTCGTAGAGCTCTGGATTCTGGCTCAATGTGCCGGTGAGGGAGAGAAAAGTGGTGAGAAGTGAACGCGCCAGACTGATCAGGTGCGGTTGTGGGTTGAGGCGCACATCGGGATGCGTTGGATAGAGCTGATCGATGCCGGCGGATTCGAGCGTAGCGGGCTCTTCATGGAGATTGATGGGAACTCCAAAGCTGTGGTATTTGCCATCACTTGGAGGCTCTGGTGGAATCAAGTATTGGAGCTCGCTGTCAATGGTTTCGCCGTCTCGCAGCTGCTTCGCGCGCGCAACATTCTGCTTGGTGAAATGTTTCCAAAAGGGCGGCGGCGTTGGAAATGGCGCCGCCATGACCTGTGGTTCACCCATTGGATGATGATGCGGAGGCGCGTGTTGGCATTGGAAGGAAGGGAAGGGAAAGGGAAGTCAACGGCTTTTGCGGAGTTCGAGACGAGATGACGGAGCCCTGTTTCCATTCACTTCAAAACAAGGGATCACGCGAGCACCYCTCTTCTTCCCTCCTTTCACTTTCACCATCAGATATGCCAACATCTGAAAGGACCAAATCGCCTGTGCGTAATGCTACAGACGGCGATTTGTATGCGTCTTTCCGGCGTATCGTGACAACGACATACGCTCAAGGTAAAATTGCCCGGCCTAACAACACATATACCTTGCAGCTGACATGCATACCAGAATATGCGGGCTTGGCCGTTTTGATCGTCCTTTACCTTCTCGTGAGAATTTTTAGCGAGCCTTTCCACCAGCTGTTCCGTCTAGACGACATCCGCATTTCATTCCCTCATGCTGAGCATGAGCATGTTCCCGTCTGTAGGTTTCGCCACCTACAACAAGAAACCATCCCCACGAGCCGCCCCTGACAATCCTCCATAGTCTGGCTATTCACGTATGGCGGCGCTGTTCCCGCTCTGGTACTCTTTGTATGGGCCATCATCGCACGCCCAGACGTTCATAAAGTCCATGTGACCTTCCTCGGCCTCCTAATTTCACTTCTATTGACCTCCTTCATCACGGACGTTGCAAAGGATGCCATTGGACGGCCCAGACCCGATTTGATCGCGCGGTGTAAACCTGGGAAAGACGCACCCCTCCATGAACTGGTCACATTCGAAATCTGCACAGAAACCAGCCATCATTTACTTCACGATGGATGGCGATCATTCCCTTCCGGCCATAGTAGTTTTGCATTTGCAGGACTCGGCTGGCTAGCACTTGTACTGGCAAGGTAAGAACGAATCCAATCTCTACTTCTGCATATACTGATACATCAAAGTCAACTCCGCGTCTTTCGACCAAGAGCAAGTCTTGCCGCCATGATGATCTGTGTTGCGCCTCTGCTGGGTGCATTCCTAATCGCCGCATCGCGTCTAGAAGACTACAGACACGCGGTTGCGGATGTTACTGCTGGATCAATCCTCGGCTTTGTGATCACATATCTCACTTTCCGGCGCTATTATCCTAGTCTGTCTTCGGAGGATTGTAGCGAGCCTTATGTGGAAGGACGGTCTACATTTCAGCGTCTACGACATGAAGAGGAGGGTTTTGTGCGAGAAGTTGATGATGATAGAAGTGGCCGTTAGACRCATGAAGCCGATAGAGTGGTCTTCTGAAAACCACAGGTGTATATTATGGAAACACAGCCCAATGTTCTCCCTTCGAGTTTGACCTTTGTCCAGATTCGATATTAAGCGGAGTATCACCAAACACAGTACTACTTCAAGAGATCACAGTTGTGACGAGAGTGCACGACGGTTGCAGAATGCTTCTGGGAGTCAAATCGGCGAAGCTGCATACGCCGTAGTAATATGCTGTATACTAAATATCCATTCGGTCATCTTCACCTTCGCTCAAGGTTACTGTAAAGTTTGTGCTGCTTGATGAAAACGCTCGAAATCGCTGCAAGAACTGCAAATCCAAGGACCACCACCCACACTCCTCGTAGAGCTGCAATATAGGCATTGATGACGCCATCATGCCAACCAGGGGGTAGATTGTTCAGTTCGTCAGTCGAGTCTCTGATTCTATTAATCTCATCCGCGGCTCCAGGCAGGTCGCCAAACTTTTCCGTAAGCGAGCTCTTGAGAAGATTCTGGAACGCAGCCGACGCAGCGGTGATGCCGATCGAGGATCCAGTAGATCGGAATGCGTAGCTAGCGGAGGTGATGACGGCCTGGTATTTATGTTCGACGGCAGATATGAGCGATATCAATGTGATGGTCAGCATCGATCCGTACGCCATCCCGCTGAGGAAGAAGTAGATGAATGGTGGAGCCTTTGCCAGCCTTTCGCTGAACGTTCCCAATATAAGTGCCGCTGCTGTCACTGACAGGATTTGAGCGATGATATTGAGCAGTCGGTATTTTCCGGTCCAACGCATTATGACTCCGGATCCCAGTGATCCCAGCGCGGTGCCCACGGCTTGTGGTATGAAGAGTGTTCCAGCTTCGGTTGAGGTCACTCCGCGGACGACCTGAGATGTATGTATCAGCATGCGATGAATTTGCATAGTGCCGTTTATTTTACGTACCTGGAAGAAGACTGGACCATAATAGAGGRGCGCGAATACACTGTGGAGGTTTCAGTACAACGCTACATGGAAGCGATTTCGCACTAACCTTATTGTCTCAAAGAACATGGTCAGACACGCGGCTGCAACGGACTGATGCAGTAGCAAGTGCACAGGGATGATGGGTTCTGTGGCAACTCGGGTCTCAACATAGATGAAGAGCAGCAGGAACACGAGGCTGAGGGGCAGCGAAACGTAGACCAGTGGGTGATTCCTGCGAGAATGTTGGCAAGTGTAAGATGAACGACATTACCAACAAGACATACCATGGTACCACGTTCCCACCACTGTTTAGACCAAGGAGGAATAGAACAAGCGTGGACACCAAAGTAAATGCACCTAGAAAGTCCACCCTTTTAATCTTCGCAGTGTCGGTCTCTTTCACGGGGACATCAATCATGTAGACCCCCCATATTCCTCCCAACTATGAGGCGTTAGCAGTGGGGGAGAAAGGGAGGGGTAGCATTATGGGACATAAATACCACAATGAAGGGCAGCTGAATCAAGAACGCATACCGCCAATTGTAATTGTCGGCGATGGCTCCTCCAACAACGCCACCGAGTCCCATTCCGAGGCCCCAGACGATGTTCCCTATTCCTTGCCTGCGAAGATGGTATGATTAGTCAATTCCCTCATTCACATGGGTCTCCCGTCATCAACATACCAAACTCCCCGCTTCCGCAGAGGAATCAGGTCAGATCCTACAAACACCGAAACAGTATTGAGGCATCCACCGCCCATTCCACCAATCACTCTGCCAGCGATCATGACCCAGGACTCGGTAGCAAGACCACAAATAAGCGTTCCCACCGCAAAAAAGGTCGATGCGAAGATCAATCCGGCTCGGCGGCCATAGATGTCTGTCAATTTTCCAGAGAGCGGTTGACAGGCTGCGTTGGCGATTAGATATCCACTCGCGATCCAGGAGAAGGAAGTTCCTGATTTGAAACTATTGCTGATCGGTCCCGACAATGTCGCTACAATGGTTGTGTCTAGCGCTGCGAAGAAAGTGGTCACCCAGAGACTGCCCATTGTTGAGAGTAGCTTCATGGTACTTGGTTCATCTGCCAGAGGCACTGCTCCCTCATTGTATTCTCTTCGTTCCTGCTMGGCCTGGGCTTCGAGGCTATCTTGTTCCGTTTGCTGTCCATCGGAGCCCAGAAGAGGCGATCTTTCGTCAACAGGCTCCGGAGGGAGCTCACGTAGAGCACCCTTTCTGTTCGACATATTCTTCGTATGTCGTTTGGATGGCTCACGATTGATGTAAAGATGAAGTGTGACGCAGGGGGCGAGGTAGGAGGACGAATGGAAGTGTCAACACGGTCAGGGAGCGGGCCGAACGCCGGCGGCCAACGACCTGAAGGCAACAAACATCACATCTCAGTGCGACCTCGTAAGTTGCGACTTTACCTCTTCATCTTCCTACGGACAGGTTTGCTCGCAAAGCTTTGGTGCAATGTCCTTCGAAGCTGCAGTTTGCAATGCATCATGAATCACATGCCAARGTTCGCAGCGACGACACGGGAATCCATCTCCAAGCGGGACCGGGCATATTTCACCGTTCCCTGAGTTTGGCGAAGGACATTTCCTCCCGTGTCTTGAGTTGGGAGAATGCATGACGCACTTCCCATTAATTTCGGCCACAAAGTCTTTGAATACTTATATCGAGGGCATCGCTCAATTGTTGTTGGTATTTCGTTTCTAAAACGCATCACCACATCGAACCATTAAAGACCTACCGAGATACTTACACCCACTCAGCCATGACGGATGCCAACCACCACATACTGGTCGTAGGTGGAGGACCTGCGGGCAGTGTCACAGCGTTCTGGCTGGCGAAAGCTGGCTTTCAAGTCACTGTGGTAGAGCGGGCAACATCAAAGTTCGCATATGGCCAAGGCATCGATATCACAGGCCCAGCAGCAGAGATTTGCCGGAAGATGGGACTCGAAGATAAGATAAAATCATCGACCACTGGAGAATCAGGTTTTGCCATTCTTGACGACCAAGGGAAAGAGATTGCCGCCCTAGGGACCGCTGGGCACACTGGCGAAGGCGGCGGTCAACAATCATTCACACTCACGCAAGAAATCGAGATTATGCGGGGCGATCTTACTCGAATATTCGCAGATGCTGCGAGAAGCTTGCCGGGCGTCACTTACAGATATGGATGCACAATATCGAAACTCCACCAGAGTGAGAAGAGTGTGACGGTGACCTTGTCAGACTCTGGCAAGGAGGAGCAGTACAGCGCAGTGATCGGTGCAGATGGACTGCGGTCGAAGACGCGTGGCTTGGTCTTTGCGGACTCGATCCAAGATACGTTGAAGCCCGTGGGCCACCAATACATTGCTTACTTCTCAATGCCGGGAGAAGATGGCGATCGGCCAAATGCTCGAGTTCAACACGCCAGTGGCGGCCGATCAATCCTGATACGACCTGCTGACAGACAAGGCATTCGATCGTCGTGCTACGCGGGCGTCACTTATGCCTCACCGAAGCTCGAGGCTGTCCTTGGAAAACCGGTCGAGCTTCAGAAAGCAGCGATGACAGAGATGCTGGACGGCTTTGGTGGTATCGGACCACGTGCAATACGAGAGATGAAAGAGGCGGAAGACTTCTACTTCGAACGTACAGCGCAGATCAAGCTGCCCAGATGGTACCGTGGTCGATGCGTCCTGGTGGGCGACGCTGTAAGTTGCAGAAAATACCATGTGCTCAAAGTCCCCCCTAACATCGAGACAGGCATACGCTCCATCACCTTTGACAGGTCAAGGAACCACTCTGGCCATTCTTGGAGCTTACATCCTGGCCGGAGAGGTAGCCGCGAATCGCGACCATCCTGACGAAGCCTTTGCAAAGTACGACGCCACGATTCGCGGCTATGTTGAAAGTGCCCAGCAGATTCCTCTCGGAGGACTTGCTCCACGGTTGGCAAATCCCAGCGCAATCTGGGGCATCGGACTTTTAAGATGGATCTTTTGGCTGGTTTCGTGGACAGGAGTTTGGAGGTACATCAGCATAGGACAAGAGAAGAAATACACCCTTCCGGCGTACGACCTGTAGTCGTGTAATAAGATAAGCAGGCAACAGTAATGAGAAGAGATGGACTGCGTGCGCAATGTAATACTGTACTCAACCAACGTCCTGGTGTGTCGGAGTGGACTGCGAAGAAGATGTTGAGAGCGGCATGCGTCAAGCCGATTCTGTTTCTTCGCGCCAAAATGTCGTTGTGTATGTACGGAGTAGTTAGGGCAAGTGTGTCTGATTTTGCAAGGTGGCTATTTCCAACTCAGTCGTCATGCAAGCTCGAGCGTTCTCATCCATGCAAGATACGTAGGCCCGCGTTCATTTGCTGTTGGCGACATCATCCCTACACATCCACATCATCAGCGGCAAACATTCGGCAGCCGAACCTGCATCCCAACCCTTTGAGGGCTGACGGGAGGTATGGATCATGTCTTGAGAGAATACGAAATGTCTGACAGGACAAGTCACAGGACTTGGCAAGGAGCCAGCCGCTGACCTCAACTGCCTTGCCTTGCCTCGCGTTTTGCGGCGCTTCGCGGTAGTTGTAACTTACTTGTAGGCGCCGTGAAGGCTGTGCGCCGTCGCACCACGTGAGGAGAGGAGAGCTCGATGGATGCTTGATGTGTTTCTTATCAGGGCATGCACCTACTGTACTGTACTTTACTGTAAACATGTTTCACCGCGATTGCACAGCGTCTTGCCGCTCTTGCGATCTCGTCGTCGACAGAGATCTTCACGTCGCAGAGCCCAGGGCGCTTAAAGCTGCCCGGGAAAAGCTCGACGTTGTCCCAAGGATATCGCGTGCTGATCGAACGGAATCCTGGTCGGGTTGGTACGGGAAGGGCCAAACGCTAGGCGGTACTTGGACACCCCGGTCCTGCCCTTTGTTTGGCTCGTTCAAGCAAATCGGAGCCGACAAACTCTCGACTATTTTGGGACTTTCCATTCTATTTTCACACGGAGCCGCCGCCGCCTCCACTCCTCCGACATGAAGGCGAGATGTATACAAAGATCGATGGCCCTCAATATTCCAAGGGAATACGACTTCAAGCTACTCAACCCACGCTACAGCTGGCCTGTGGCTCCCAGCAAGCAAATTCGCCGTTCGGTGGTGGCAAATACGACTGGTGTATATTATATGAACGACTTAGCGAACCATCCTTCCCCATCAGGCAGTGTCATCCCAACTGGGTGTCTTTRTCCACAGTAATACGAACGGAAAACTCCACGAGGGTCCCCACTTGAGACCCCTCGACACCTGGCCCCGCGGTTGAAGTACTGTATACATACTCGTCTCTCACCCGCTGCACGAGGCCACTGGCAGATCGCGCCTCCGCCCCACACGTGCCGTAAGACCTCTTTGGTTTTCTTATCTGGTTGGTGGAGCCCCACTGGTCTTCTGGAACTGGAGATCATCATGCTGCTCTCACGCACGTCACCTTCGACATCTGTTCATCACATGGCCGACACCATGTCACTTGCCATATTGCCATCAACGCCCATGGTACATACTTCATCGCACCGGCAGCATGCGTCGCCCAAACGACCAAAGCTATCCCTCAACACAGCCAACGTTCCGTCATCGTTTGGCAAGAAATCGACCAGTCTGCGACTTGACACGTTATCAACAACTTCACCCACTTCTCGAAACACATTCCGTAACGCAACATTACCAACACAAGGTACTACGGGGTTGAAAACACAACAGCCGCCTTTGGCCGACCTCGCGATCGATACATCGCAGGAACAACAAGAGCGACACCCTTCGCCAACAGACACGGCAACCTCGAACGATTCCGCTTCGTCTGCCTCATCGATCGAGTCGACTTCCGGTGAAGTGCCCTATCGTCTATCACGCAGTCTTACTTCGATCCTGAAGAACGGCCCCCTCCCTCACAGTCCTCGTCAAAAGACTTCCTTCGCTCAATCAAAGCCCGCAATGTTTCCGCCGGCAAAGAAGGTTGCGTTCCGAACACCGTTGGAGGAAGAGGTGATTACCAAGAAATACACCCTTCGACATATCGACATCGCGTCATCAACATCAACGATATCGACTTTGGAGYTATCCCCGACAAAGAAGGAAGCCGGACCTTGTGATTCACCTAAGGAGGATGACCTAAAGCCGAGCAAGAGTGTAGACGTAGCAACGACGAAGAAGCTGTCTGGACCACAGCCTGGCGAAAAGAGGGAATCTTCAGATGAGGAGGACAGCGATACAGCGGCTTCCACTCCAGTCGCCGGTCGAAGGAAACGCTCCCGACGCTGGGTGTGGACCTTACCACATGCTGCTCCCTCTTCACATGAAGATGATCGAACGCGTAGGAATGAGACTGTAAGGGCATGATCAGGTGGCTAGGCTGTTGACGGACGGGGTGTTGATTGGTTTAGCGGATGCATTGAATTGGGCGCATGATCTGTTTTATGATACCCCAAGAGCGAACGATATATACAACATGAGCATGAGCATGAGCATGGCGTGATGAAGATGAAGATGATTTAGATACTAGGTATAGCTAGGTAAGATTAGCGAGGAGGTGCAGTGTATCTATTGCATTTGATCCGCATCAACTTTATTATGAAGTCTTCGAAGCACTTCATGTTGCTATTTCCAAGCACCACCGGCCTAACGTGAGGGGAGAAACATCAATGTCTGAGACCTGCTTGAAACATTTCAACGAAGCCTTCACTGGACTGTCTTGTAACCACGGGGACAGTGATTTTTCACAAATGAAGGAATTTTGAAGAATCGGAATCTTCAATTTGATAAAAAATCTGGTAAAGACAGTGAGATGCACATCAGCATCCAAAAAGACAATCCAACAAACGAAAGCCTATGAGCCTTCAATACCTAGCATCAAGCCCAGTCTCGACCAAGATCCCACTTGCACCCCCTTGGCCAGCTATCACGCCCTCCACCCATCAATCTAGTTACACTTAACCTCAAAACTCTGCATATTCTTACTCCCAACATTAATACACTTATTCTCATTCTCCAAACTCAAATCACTAATACTCCCCTGACAAGTCTGCTCACTATAATAATAAATCCGACAATATCTCCCAAAAGACGCACGATTAAGTCTCGTCCAGGAGAAACTTCCGACATTACGTTTGGTGTCGCGACATTCGGAGACGCCGTCGATGACGGGGACGGTGATTTGGTCGTCGTTGGGGTTTTGTTGGTTTCCTTTTACGGGGGAGGTGCCGCAGAGAGTGTCGCCGTGGATGATTAGTTSGRGGTAGGSGGGGGGTGGGGTGGAGGTTGGGGTTGGGGTGAATGTTACGGTTCTGTAGAGCGTTAGTGTTGGGCAGGAATAGGAGTGGTTTGTGGCGTTTGTTACTTGGTGATTGTGCTGGCGGGTTTTGTTATCGTGCTGGCGGGTTTGGTGGAGGTTGATGTTATGGTTTTGGTGGAGGTGAGGGTCACGGTTCTGGTTAATGTACTCGCTGGACTCCTGATAGTACTGGTGGTCGTGCGGGTCACAGTACGCGGCGGCACTGTGCAGGTGGTAATAGTCCTAGTTGTGTCAGTCTATCGCAGAGAAGCTMGAGGGTGAGGTCTTAGATGAGGCTCCCAGGATATCCCACGATATTCATACCTTGTGACTGTACGAGCGGGTATCGTTGAAGTGACAGTTCTGGTCTTTGTCAATGTCGTGGTCTGTCTGCCGGCTTGTGGGACAGCTTCAGGCAGTGCATTGGCACCGATGGTCAGGAGAGTGACGAGGATCTGAATGACTTAGCAATGTTGAGAGTGTGTGACGAGAGTACTACCTTGAACAACATGTTCACTATGATGAGATTGGATTTTGCGAGAGGTCTTGGGATGCAATGTTGCAAGATGATTTGCAAACCACTGCTTGACAACAACGAATCAAGGGAAGAACTATATACTCCTCTGATGGCCATTGCGCATGGACTGACACTTGATCGAATCGAGTGCTGAGCATTTTTGCGTAACACATCTTCGACCAGATGGCGTGCAATCCCCTCTAGGTAGTCAGGGGCGCGGTCTTACAAATTCAAGCCATGGCAGCGCAGCAGCTGTGATTACGAGGGAGGTAGGGATGAGCTTCAGTAATTGTGGCCTTGAGTACCGATGATAGCTCGCAATCAAAGCTCGACCAAGTGGCTCTGCGTGTTGTTGTGGTGGGCGTGGCGTGGATGCTGGCGAGAAAGGTGCAACTCGGAGATATGGAATAGCCTCCCCAACATCATACACACGCCGACGAGTATTGGACGCCCGTCGGCTGGCGATTCCTGCGTTGTTCGTCTCAGCTTCAAATTCAGTAAATGCAGTCRGCGGCATCTTCCAATCGTTTGGAATCATCCCATCCTTTGTGTGGTACATTGAACGAGGAATACTTCCAGTACGGGCAGGTACGCACGCATGCCATTGATGTGGCTCTGAAGGCTTTGCTGTACTCATATCGGCTCGAACCTGACGCACAAGTTCATATCAAACGAGCGAGGTGCAGTCACGGAACTGGTCGCACTGTCAAGCTTCCCAGCAGTGACACTCGGAGTAATCTTGCCTTGTCARTGCCCAGAGGGAATGGAATAGAGGGGAATGCTGGCAATCGCTTAGCTGCGTGAGTGAGCCAGCAAGCGAGGTTRCAAGTAGGCTCGCATATCATTCTTGAATCAGCCATGACCATGCGGCATCATCCTGATGTAGCTGGTCTTGCAGTGAGCGGGTGGTGCTCGAGTGTCAGTGTTTCCAGCCCTTTCGGTGCAGCACTACATCGTTGTACTGGTGGTCGAGCAGACTTTGATGATCAGAAAGGAGTTTTGACTTGACCGATGCAGGAACTTGTGGTCCTCAGCGTTGTCGGGGTGGAGTTTGAGGTCCACGGTGTCACCGCTACGCAAAGGTCGAAGCCATGGATTGCGGGCAAGAAAGACATGGAACCACATGGAGACCCTCACTCAGGCTATGACTGATACGTCAATGGACGTCAAAGTTGGGCGCAAGTCGTGAAATGACACGCGGCTACAGTATGCAGACAATAAATTTAGAGGCGGCTCCGCAGCGTGCTTTCACAGCATGTCTGTTGACGATGTGGATGTTGGGAAGCAAGACGACCTGATGATGAAGATGTCAGGATGGAATCCCTCGTGCATGACTCGTGCAGCCAATTTCCCTGCGAACTTCCGTCATCCGACAACAACCGGAAGGATCGAACGAGCATCATCATCATCATCGTCGCTGGTTACACAAACCCATGAAAGCGTGGAGACGGAACGAAAAWCATGGCAAAAGTCGTCGCGTTTGCGGCTCTTTGCGAGCACATATTACAATCTCGAAAGACATAACCAACAAGCCGTCAGTTACAACCTGAAGCAAGACCCGTCAAACGACCAGCACAAATCGGGGTACTTCTCGAATTCATCCACCGGTACTCTTGTATGACGAATCCTCGCCAAGATGAGACCATGTCTGCAGGCAAGTCCGACTTGCCTCGGAAAGAGGACCTCGTTCAAGCGGTAGACGCGCTGCAAAAGGCTGCCAAAGCACAAGATGCTGCCAAATCGCTGCGAGAAAAGGCGTCTGCAATCGCAGATCCCAAACAGCGGGAAAGAATGATCCAAGATGCCTACGAGAATGAGGTTGAGGCCCACGGACAGAGCAAGCTAGCACGCCGATTGCAGAGTGGGACCTGGCAGGGTCTTGCCGGTGGCACTGGAATAGGAGCCGGTGTGGGCATGGGCGTGGGCACTGTAGTTGGCGTCGTTACGGGCGGACTCGTGTCGCTGCCCACGACTGCTCTGGGAGCATTGATAGGCTCTGGGGTAGGAGCTGTCCATGGCCCATGGATCAAGCTGGGAGGACGGGACCGGAAGCTTGTAGATGTTCCTCCGGAGGAACTTGTCGATGCAGCTGCGGAAGAGAAGATTGAGCAGAATACGGACAATATGAACACTGCAACAACATATACCACGCCTTCGAGGATTGGGAAGAAACAGCCTCGAAAGTTGGAGATTCGGTCTCGTCCGAAAACGGATGACAACACAGGCAAGACTGAGGATGTTCTGGATGGTGCTTCTCATAGAGGCGGGCCGAAGAAACTTGAAAGACGCTCATCTGGAATAAAGCCTGACCGTTGCTGAGACCGCAGCGGCAGTGCCACTTCTATCTTCAATGCTCCTGAATAAGCCTACCCAATACGCGAATGGCGCTGCTAGGATGGATGAAAAGTGTATTTCGGAGCACTTCCCGACTGCTCGCACTTCTCGAGACGACAATACATTTCAGCAAGCAGCAGGTGAATATGTAACTCGGCCGAATTACGGAAGATCAAATGCGCCTTCTGTTTTAGTTGCCCCCGGCCGTGATCAGATGTCGCGTTACAGGCATGTTGGTTGTCTGAACGGCGACTGCAACAACCATATTCAGTCTATGAAAGTAAGCTCATGAGATGGCCTTACCAAATGTTCGTGCCAGAAGCACAAAACGACATCGTCGACAAGTCTAGCCATCTGTATTGTTCGGGCGCCGTTTCATTCTTCTGCCTGAYGCGTCAAGACCGTTAAAACAGTAAGTATTCACCTGCCACACCGGCTCTCCATTTCCGAAGCCCGGGCCACAATAAAACGCCTTCTCAAAGACCTACCAACCACACACTCCCGGAATCACGTAAGTCTCTGCGAACGCGGCCCTCAGCCACCTTCATCAATTTTTCCAGCAAGGCTGGCGTATCAGCAACAATGAATGCTCTGGTAAGCTTCCTTCTCTGACTGCTGATCTCTTATTCCGAGAGACACAACTTCCAGCATCCCAGCCATGGAAATGCAATGTTGTCCTTTAGAATATCACCGGGCTGGGATGTGCTGCCTGTCGCACTGCATATCAAGTGCCTGTGGAAACCCACGATTGTTCCAATACACTTTCCATCTTGTCTCGCGATTCTTCTTGCTGTATCTTTGAAACGGCATTCTTTCGCTCGATACATCCCAACGGGAAGAATTTGTTGACTGCATCGGTTGCTTCCGTGGTAGTCTTCTACAATGAAGGGTACGCACAGTGCTATTCTGCTGCTTGCTTTGGGTATGTTTTCACAAAGTCCATGAGAGAGCGTTTCCACGCTGACATCAATTAGCAACATCGACCTACGCACAGTTTAGTTATGGCGGATTCAGCAGCAATGCGGGCAGTAGTAGCGACTTCACGAGTGGTAGTGGGAGCAGCAGCAGCAGCAATACCAACTACAACAACAACGCCAACAATAACAACGACAACAACTTCGACACCTTCCAAGGAAGCAATGACTACGATTTTGGCGCCTTCGGCAGCCTGTCGCGATATCGAACCATGCTCCTAGCCCACGCCGTTCTGGCAACAATAGCATTCGGATTCTTCTTCCCTCTAGGCGGAATTCTCATCCGTCTGGGCTCCTTTCCGGGACTTTGGAAAGTGCACGCCCTGATTCAAGTCTTTGCCACCATGATGTACATCGCGGCGCTTGTACTCGGCATCAAGCTCTCGGTAAGAAGAAGCCCATCTCGCTTGTCGCGCGCGAGAGCATACGTGATGAAAACTAACGACGCCACAGATTGCTTCGGGACGAGGTCTAACCTCTCACTACCATCCTATCATTGGATATGTGCTCATGGGACTACTTGTTCTCCAGCCCTTGTCTGGAATGATCCATCATAAAGTATTCCAGAAGCAGCATCGCCGAGTGATGTGGTCGTACGGCCATATTTGGCTAGGGAGGATTCTTATTACATTGGGAATCGTCAACGGTGGCCTAGGCCTAATGTTCGCCATGGACTACCCAATCCTCCCACCGCCCCGAGCAGCTATAATCGGATATAGCGTCGGCGCTGGAGTGATGTGGTTCATCTACCTATTCGCAATCATGATCGGTGAAGGAAGGAGAGAAGGCCGAGTTGAATCTTCGGCAGCCAACAGGGACGAACACCCCAGCAGTCGAAGCAGAAATGGTGGAGGGAATCGCAGCAAAGGTCCACGGAAGAGCAGATCCCATGTGAGAGTACAAAGTATCCGCTACATCGGAAGTGAGGAGATACTGCAACGTCGCTAATCAAGCAGTTGAGAATGAGATTCGCAAGTCTACCTTACTTCTTTTTAGCAGCCTCGCATGCGGCTGCAGCTCCGCTGCTCCGCCACGCAGATAGAATCAAATCAACAATATGATCCATCCCTTTACCATTCTTCACCTGAGCGAAAATCGTCGGTCCTCCTTCTCTGCAAACACCCCAAGTAGATTAGTAAACCTCCTCCCCAAAGCACAACATCATCAGCACGACATTGACTCACCGAATCTTCCTAGCATCCCGATCCATAACCCCCAAATCCGCCCCAATCAACTCCGCCAAATCCGTCTTATTAACAATCAAAAGATCACTCTGCGTAATCCCCGGTCCACCTTTCCTAGGAATCTTATCCCCGCCACTAACATCAATAACATAAACAATAAAATCCGCCAACTCCCTCGAATAATTCGCCGCAAGATTATCCCCTCCACTCTCAATCAACAACATCTCCGTCCCGAATTCCCGATGCAAATCCGTCAAGGCCGCGAGATTCGTCGAAATGTCTTCGCGGACGGCTGCGTGCGGGCATCCGCCTGTTTCTATCGCTCGGATGCGTGAGGCTGGGAGGGCGTGGTGGCGTGTGAGGAATTCGCAGTCTTCGCGCGTGAAAATGTCGTTGGTTACGGCGGCTATGTTGTATTTGTCGCGTAGGGCGAGGCAGAGGGCGAGCATTAGAGCTGTTTTGCCTGAGCCGACGGGCCTGCATATACATACATTCTCAGTTATGGTACGAGCTTTGCTTTCTCGTTTTGGGGATCTTTGTTTTTGTGTGTATTTTTTCAATCGTACCCGCCAATGCCTATGGTAAAGGCACGTTCGTTCCAGTCTCGTCCTTCGATTATGGGCATTTCGCGGCCGAGAAATGRGCCTGGGCCGTTGAGGATCTCGTGCGTGTGGCCATGGTCGGCGGCCGCGTGGGAGTGGGATTGTCCACCTTCGTGAGAGTGTGACATAATGCTGCGAGGACTACAAGGAAGAAGAAGAAGAGGTAAGGTACGGTAAGCTTGAGTTTCACATGCAATCTGGGCCGATCTGCGATGAAGCTCTCATCTTGACGCCAAGACATGGATGGTTGAGGGGTCGGAGGTGGGGCATTCTCACATGCTTCCAGGTTTTCTCCGTCGTGGTATTGAACAAGAAATACAGTAGATACATGGGTGAWGGTCGAAAAGTAGGGTTATGTAAGTGCAAGTAGTTAGGAAATGTGATGTGCCCAGCCCAGTCCATCCGTACTCCCTAATGACACTCCGTGGTATATCCCATTTGAAACTCCCAACCCAAGCAGCAAATCGTAACGCTTGAGTCGCTACTCAGCTGCTGTCCACCTCGCTGCCATGGCAGTCTTATAAAACCCAGCCTTTCGATTCACCTCACGCTTCTTGATGACAATCAGGGTCGTGGCTGTAATGGTTGTATGTGTAGTGGTTCATTCGATTCCATCCTCTGAGCAATACCTCCAGCATTGCTCGTATGGGAATCGCAGCAGTCGTGATGCCAACTGCATCAAAGATGGGAGGGCCGAGGAGAACACAAAGTCCAGTCAAGTCCACCACCCCTCCCTTTCCATTTCGACTGGCCTTACTTATTCAATCCTAGCAGTTGCAGCAGCCCATTCGGCTTGTACAGCAAGCAACGCTGGATCGTTTTCGTCGAGGTCGTCTCCGAGCATCTCCTCAAGCTTGGCGTTGCCCATGCGCGTAGATTCGAGGTACGCTCCAATCTCGTGCAGACACTCCGAGCGCGAGAGCCCGGATTTGCCATTGGCAAGACACGGGACGAGCTTGTTAAGATCGGCATAGCCTTGTTGGATAATCTCCCGCCGCTTCTTCTCCGAGTGGATGTGGTTCTTCCGCTTCTGATCCTCTGTGAGATTTTCACGCTTCTTCGCACCGCGCTTGCGTGCCGATGCCTCGCCGCCGTCGTCATCTTGATTGGCGGGTGGAGAGTTGGATACTTGAGATGTCTGTCCTTCAGTGTGCCTCCGCCGCTTGCCTGCCGATGGCGAGATGATGGCGCTGCCTGACGTGGCCAGCATGGAGGGCTCATCATCGGTTTGCTCTTGCTTGATAACTTGCGAGCCATCCGACCGATGCTGAGCCGAGCGCCGGTCCCAGCTGTGCTCGCTATCGCGGTCATCGTTGCCCTTGTGACGCTTGCGTGCTTGTGAGCCAGAGTTGAGCTCATCGTCTTCCGCAGGCCGACTGAAGCCAGGAGCGCTGAACGTGCCCCACGATCCTCCACCATTTTGCTGGTTGGTTTGCTGGTTTGCCATTGCGTGTGGTCCGTATGGTCCGCGGACCTTGTCTGCTAGAGGGACGTTAAGCAGGTTCCCAGATTTGTCTTTGAGATATTGCGGACCTTGGTAGTGGGTGTTGGAGTTGAAGCTCGGATCACTTCCAAAGTCGACGCCTGGGAATCGCTGTTGAGATTGATGTCGTGGAAGTGGTTGTGGTTGTGCAACGCCAAACATGTGCGGCTGCGCTAGAAAGTGAGTGTCTGCGCCACGCACGTGCTGGGCCGGACTAGCGTGTGACAAGTCGCCGTTGCCGCTCCACGGAGCTTGTGGATGTGCATGTGCTGTGAATGAGGTTCTGCGACCAGCTGCACTTGGTGCGTCGGAATAGCCAGCGCTGCCAGAACCGAGAGGCATGTTGGAGGTTTGAGCGACAGTGAGATTACCCCAAGAGCCAGCGACTTGTCCGCCGCTATTGGCTGGAGCGAAGTTGAGCTGCTGAGGTGTATTCTTATGGGCGAATCCGTACAGCGAGGAAGCTGCGTTCAGGTCTGCATTGTTCATGGTCTGGGTATGCGTTTGAGATGTTGAGTCTGCCAAGAAGCCAGCATGTTGTGGGTAATTCGGTTGCTGCTGCTGCTGCTGCTGCTGGTGCTGTTGGTGGTGTTGGTTATGATGATGTCCGGCCATGCTGTTCATGTGCATTACTGATTGATATGCTGGTTGGGAAGGATCGAGCGATGAAGGGTCGAGGTTGTTGATGTTCTGGCCAAAAGGTGTTGCGGAGAATGGTCCTTGGGACGTGGACTTGCCGCCAAGATTGAACATGCTGTCGAAGCCGTCGACTTGCTGTGCCATGTTTGGATTGTCGAAGAAGGTGGAGAGGTAGTCGTCTTCGGTGTCGTTTAAAATAGTCTCTCCGGTAGGTTGGTGGTCTAGCGTTGAAGGGTCAAAAGAAAAGAAACTATTGTCTCCTGCTCACAATGCATCAGAGGTGAATAAAACCAGCAGATGGAGCGTGAACATGAAACGTGAAGGAAAGCACGGCGTGCGTGCGTGCGTGCATACCTCCAAAAACCATTCCATTGCCATTGTAGTTCGGATCCATAGCCGATGCGAGGCCGGGCCTCTGTACTGCTACCAGCGTCGCCAGCGTCGATGCTGTCCCCAGAAGGGAGTTGTGGCCGTTTGTGGTATTGCTACTGTCGCTGTGCCGTGTCCGCGCTCTCTCCTAGTCGCATGCACGTGCGGCCCCGGCTGTACAGTTGGTGGCGGCGTCAGGCGCAAATGGATCATTGTCCCATTGAGCTCAATCCGCCACACGAGCACCTGTCGGCCACTTCTTCCCTTTACGACGGGCACCAACTCTTCCCAATCCACTCGGATGGCAGCTCTCTGGTCGTTGAGAAGCTGATTCCTCTCTGTGTTTCCTCCCCGGCCAACCGTCGGCGCGACAGCAAGGTCTCAGCTCCGGCAATTCGGCGCTCAGTCAGAGATTTTCCTGTACAATTGCGAGCCAGTCGCAAATATGATCCGGGAGCAAAAGACGCGATCCGGCGGGGGGTCGTTGACGGCGGCAGACCGTGAAGTCGAGTCGAGTCGTGCTGGTGGAGACCTGATCCTAATCTTCATGTGACAAGAGGTCGAAACCTTGGCTGGCCCACGCTTTGCCGCCCGGAAAGGATAAGGGCAGCTCCCAGAAATGTATACGGGCAGGACCCTGAGTAATCACGTCGATAACCGTATATTCCTTAGCTTAACGGCTTCTTCCTTCGCATTGGAGCTTACGGCGCTGGACAAGATGGAACGTAAACCCTCGCCAGGTAGTAAGGGCGGTGCCTCGCGCGAATGCTACCCCTACCGCTCGCGCATGTCCTATCAATGGGGTCTTCATCCCTTCATATCGGCGTCGCTAGCGGGGGCCATATTCTTGCCAAGGGCGGAGGGTGTGGCATACGGCGGAGAGCCTGCTTTTTACGTTATTTATGGCGTAAAGCTCGTTATTTACATGTGCGATTACTCAGTATTGGGTCTGCCCGTAGACATTTCTGGAGCTGCACTTATCCTTTTCGTTTGCCGCCGTTCSATCCGGGGTTTAGGTAATCCCAACCACTTTCCATGACCATACCATCTCCATCTTCATCTTCCAATTCACCATATTCGCCCTGACCGCCTCTCACCCTCACGACCATAATTCCGCTCGACTACCTTGTCTATGAGTCCTAAGATGGCTCATAATACCGCTGTAAGGTATATAGATTAGCCGGCGATGTAAGAGCACTACTATGGCTGCATGGCATGCCCAGGCCATGCTGCCACGCCTCGAACGCTCACATATGCGTTTAATTGATTCATTACACACCACTAACAACAGATATTACCAATCGTTTGATGCCGACAAGGCCGCATCCACACTTTCTTAGATCCACTTATGCCGAAGAATGGGACTCGATGGCGTTGGAGGTTCTCGCGGCAAGCTTGAAAATGTGACAATCCAGCATAATGAGGTGGTTTCATGCCTACGACCAATATTACCCCGGCATATCGCTACACCTCTCCGCTTCCAACAGCTACAGTCTGGCCGTCATCCGATCGGCTCTCTTGCACCTTGAGCTGCAATAAGGAGGCGTCCTCCACGCGATCCTCCGTTAGGGAACAAGGATCGCTTTCGCTCTCTCCGACCATAGCACACCATCCAGGCCTCGCATAAGGCCAAGCATGACCTGACAGTCGTTCCGTATCTGCTAAGCCCGCACGTGGTTGCACACACGATAAACCCATGGTTTCGGGTCTCCATCMGCCTGCATCTCCACAGTGTTGGTTCGAGAGAAGTTCCGATGTGGAGTTGTGCTCCCATCATGATGTGTCTGATGAGATTAAATCCCCGCACTCGCTCTTACTGTACTTGTATAGCTCACCCGCATGATAACGAAGTCCCCTCCGGTTCTGCATGAGCTTCACATTCAAGATGGAGTGTCTACAAGTACGACTGAAGTGTTTGTAAAGGCGTCATCAGACTGTAGCATAAGTTGTCTGTACTTCTGCGGAATGGAATACTGGTGCTGTGGGGAGCTTTAAACATTACTCGATCATGACCAACAAGGAAGTTCACTGCATGGCACCATCTTTCGGCCCGTCTGTGGACACGGATATCCGCCTGCTGCATACACGACACGATCACTGGACGCGCGCTGCACAATCGGCATGTCGCGCCCCGATCTGCATAATGCAGCTCACCGGCGAGGCTAGGACGAATGAGATAACAGTCTGCGATCTCAATGTGGACATTCACCCATTGTCTGCTTCGGAGACTCCGAGCCGCTGGCACATTCTACGCAGACATTCGACCACGCAGCTACGACACATCGATGCGGTTTCTACTGGCTACAGGTCCCCCAAGCTCCGTGGTTGTCAATTCGACACTCGGAGCTTGACGGTCTTGCAGATGCACGTAGATCGGCTATCCGCGGAGAATCAGGAAATGTTGCTCTGGACTGCTTATGCCGTGGCTTCTGCCGGAACTCATGCTCAACGGCATAAATTCGTTTGGGCTTACAGTAGAATGTTCTCCAAAGGCATTGGTTTGGGTGCCCGTGCTCGATCGACCGGCGTTGTCGAAGGCCGAGCTCCACGTTCGTTATGGGGAATCTTACATTGGCATGTTGCACTACCTCAGGACCAGAGCGTGACCTTCTTATCAAGGTGAAAGGGTAAGTAACGGCTAGAAGAGGTTTCTTCTCGGCGAAGAGGGTCATCGTAAATATCAGTCAACTTCGCCAGCTAGCGGCCATGGTCTTCAAGCTGTCCTATCATACGACCGATTTCTTTCCCTATTGCTAAATCCTCATGTCAAGATCCTCCGAGTCACTGCCGGAGGAAAGCTGCTYATCTCATGAGCAACATTTCACGATGATCAATAGTTTGGCGGATTTGCGTCGCCTTACCACAATCGCATCTCGCGCCATTGAAGAACCCCATTGGCAGCTCCGTCCAGAAAGTTTTGAGCAGAGGTTCAGTGTAGCGCACTATTACTTTCCACCGCCAATGAATCGAGGAACATCTTCGATGATCCCATCTGAGCCCCTCGAGGAAGTTGTGACCACACATTCTACTCGACCACCGTCAATTGCAGGCCTGAGCTCGACACTTGCAAGTGGCTTGAAGGCGCATCCGAGGAACGAAGCAGTGAGCTGGCATTGTTCATTCGAATTTCTAAATTGCGGAGCTATTTTCGACGACTTCGAAAGCTGGGATACCCACTGTCAATCACACTTTCGAGGGAGACTGCCAAGGACCACCACTTGTCGCTTTGGCTGCGCGTCAGTCTTCACAGGCAGCTCGGGACAGCAAAGTTGGCAGGCGAGAAGAGAACATCTCCAACAGTACCATCAAAGTGGCGGGTCGCCGGAGACTTGTGCCAGTAAAGACCTTGTCGGTCATCTTTGGCGGACAAAGGTTATCACAGATGCCGAAGAGCAAGAGTTGAGGAGATGTGGACGGCTTGAGGGAAAAAGTGTGTACCTCGAATCTGCCAGTAGTTCTCGCCATCTTCGCCAACGTGTTCTGTAATGCGGTCAGGAAAGTAGCTCAGGGATCCGGACTTGGTTGTCTTCGAGATGTTTCCAAGAACCAATGGAGTGGGGCGTTCTTTCCACGGAGAGCTTGTGTGGTCAAGGCTGAGTGGGTATGAGCGTGGTCATCAAGTTGTCGTCTCGAGGCCCCTCGTGAGACTTTATGCCAACACGATAAGGGATCCTGGCTGCATGTAAATGTACATTGTATGCATTGCATGATGGCCTCATGAAGCCGTGACAGTAGTGTACTCTAGTAGCCTGTCCAGAGCCAATGAAGTTAGATCGGTAGATCTTAGACCCCCTAGTCTCTTTGCACATGCAACGTCTTCCTTCTCTATTTCGTCCATCATCAGCGGTCAATGTGGTCCCGGGGCGAGCGCAAAAGTGCCGCCTCTCCTCTGACTCAGGAAGCCCGAGATGTCAGATGGACAAGGTGCGCGCGACTATGATCTGATCGCTGTCACCTGCATCCACGAACCCTGCAGTTAATCCCGGGGCAGACGCGTTCTCGCTCTGCAAAGAACGCAGTGGGAGCGGCCTCGTGATGGGAAGATACTACAATCTCTGTCATGGATACGGGAATATTCCGTTAATCCCCATCGCCATCAACAAACTCAACCCAATAGGAGCTTTGGATCTGTGGATCTCTACGCACATTGGCTGTGAGATTCCTTGCAGTTTCTTCGGCCATTGCCGTATGCATGGCAGAGATTGAAGCGTCCGCAATGCAGAAGCTACTTTATACGATGTCAATCAACATGATGGGACACATCACCTCACGCATTTCGTATTGAAGACGCGAGCCTGCACGCCCGCGGCTTGCTTTTCCACCCAGCATCTTTCACCATTTTCCCACATGCGATTTCTGACAAGACTGCAACGCCGATATTAGCGGACTGCGCTCCAATCCTTTCGCAACAGAGACGACTATGAACAGGCGGTGGGAGTAGCATCGGAAGTCGGAAAGAGAAGCTTCCTTAGATGCTGTGAACACAAGTACTGTACCTGTCGGGACATGCGAAGGCTGCAGCTCTGCTATCCCAGCCCTGGTCTCAGTCCTGCCGAGACACGAGGGACATTGATACTTTGTACAGTACAGGACTGAACGCAACCGTCACATTGCAGGGATACCTCGTAGGGTTCAAGCCCAGTCAGCGGGGATCTTGGCCGATCATACCGTTCTCCTTGCCAACATCGCCGCGCCACCCCTAATTAAAAGGGAAGTAGAGCTGGGACAGAGAGAAGCCGGAAGGGCTCGAACGATGCGGCTCCACAATGTAAACGATGATATCAACCTTCGGGCCCGCCGATGATCAATGTCACTGTTTCCTCCGACACAAGCATCAACATCAGGAGGGATATTCCCTACAAAGAGATCACTAGCCAATGCATATATCTGATTGCCGACAAGTTGCCGATTCTGGGTTGTTTTGCGGCAGCTCATTTACATTCATCACATCACAAAGTTCTGCGGATTTTCCGGAGGATTTCTGTCAATCCATTGCCCATGCCGACCTTCAGCATTCTACGATTGTAATCATTCCCTCATCGAGCGTTCAACAGAGCTGGATACGACGATCCGTCGTCAACGATAGCCATGCCCAACCCACGGGCGGTGGTCAGCGATAGCACCATCTTGAAAACGGGATTCCTCTTACCGGGAGAGATTGTCTCGCTTCTGACGTCCATGATTTCGCTCCCGATCATTGCCATTTTCTTCTGGCAGCGGCTTCGGCAAGCACATGTCAAGGCATACACAGTGGCGTCCTGTGCACTGTTAATGGTGAGTTTTTCATACGGTTGTGATATGGGAGCATGCTGAAACAGAATGCAGACATACATTTCCTCTTTTCTTTTTGTGTTTGTGCTCACTGCACTCTTACACATCCGGTCTCGGGATAATACGCTATGTGATGCAGTAATATTACTTTGTAAGTCGAACAGCTCTGCGATTATAACTTCGCGCTGATAATGTGAGCAGGCGTTACGCTCTTTGTCGTGACCAAAGCCGCGACGATCTTGTTCCTCATCGAACGAGCATATATCATATCCTTTCCAATACTACCGAGATACCAGCACCCGGAGTATGTGCTTAGCAACCTCCTCATCTTTGTACCTTATGCTACAATTGCAGGTTTGTCAATATATTAGTCAGTGCAGGGAATGATTCCCAACACAGAGGTGCTATACTGATCTCACTGCAGTCGGGTGGCCTTTACGAATGAGCACGGTGTCTGCATCATTGGAATCCAGATGGTCGCGCTCCTACCCCTGTTGCTTATCGAAGTATTGGCATATGTAAGTGATGACCACGCCGCCATTTGAAGACGCTCTCACACCTTTCAAAGCTCTACCTAACTGCTCGCTTCCTGATACCTTTACTCATGGTCCGTTTCGGCTGGCAAGAGCTCGTCCTTCCTTTGAGAAGAGTGTTTATCAGGACTTGCATTGCCACCGCAGTGGCCATGGTTTCGACGCTCGCTGTCAAGATCTCCTTGACAATGTTTAATGGAGAGCCAGCCTGGCTCTGTTGTATGACGTGTAAGATTGATGGTATGTGCCCTTTCCCACTGCTCGTAGCCCCAGGTGCTGACATGTTCTCGCAGCACTCATCGGCTGCACAATGCTCCATTGGATGACGAAGCCAGAGGGTCAAAGTGGTAACGAGCAAGATACCCCTCAAATGCTGGGAATCCATTTCGACAAAGAGAGTTCCAGCGCGGTCGAAAGGCGACAGGATTCTGGCACTAACAGCGTTGTCCTAAACTCCACCAGTTCAGAAATCAAGCCAGCTTCGTGAGTCTACGAAGTCTGCTGTGCGATCGTAATCGCTGACTGTCCAACAGAAGTGGAACAAGCACTGAGACAGCCACATCCAGTGTATAGCTAGCTGGAAGATGCCGCCGGATATGTCGTTAAAGTATCAAGTGTAGATTAGTCGTGGTTTGCTCCAATGGAATGGTCAATATAACCTAGCGTGTGTGGTACAAACGATGCCGCTCTGTCGACCCGACAATCAAATCGAGAAGCGTAGGGCTTCAATTTCGACTGCTCATTTGGATGGTTGTAACATCGATGGCCATGTGTAGTTTTGGCAAGGTTCTGTTTGCAAATAGTTCCATGCAATAGATTCCCTACCCCTGACTCGGGTACGGCGCGTTTTTAAGAACCATTCTGCAACAATCCTTTTAGGCGATAGTGCGACGCTAGTATTATAGGGTATTAGAACCTCGGTAATTGAAGGTATATTCCGTATAGTAAGTAACAAGTAGCGTGATTTAATGTGCGCGTGCAATGTCCTCGCTTTCCTTCTTTAAAGTAATTTTATTTAAGTCTACGATACCTAAGTAATAATAGTAAGGATAAAGTAAGGGTATAATAGCATTACGCGGGCAGCTATATAACTCTTTATATAAGTAAGTAAGATCTCTAAAAGAGTAGCAGAATAAAGACCTACTACTCTTTTAGCGACTCTTATTAATACCTAAACACTAATATTAATATCTACTACTCCTACTACTATACTACCCCTTTACTACTTACCTATATTCTCCTCCCTCCTCTATACTACCCGTATAAAAGCCTAAGAAGGTAAAGAAGCCTAAGTTACTATATCTATAGCTAGGTTATATCGATACTACGAAATACTAGAGAGCTAGAACTTTCCCTAAGGATCCGGATAATAATAGCGAATACGGATATTTTAAGTAGAACTTTATAAGAGTATAAGCTAGGAATTTAACACTTTAAGAGTAGCGCTAACCCGTATAATAGCTTAAGAAAATAGGATTCTCCCTTAACCGCGAGTAGAGGGAGATAATAGCTAAGCCTACTACTAAGTACGTCGAGATCTATAATAGCTTTACTAATAGGATCGATAATATCTAAGACCGTCCGAACTACGTCGACGCCTTTCTAGTTACGAGCCGGTCTATATAATCCTATTAGAGAATTATTAAAGTATAATAGCTAATAATATCGTAGTAGAATAATATTAACTAAGGAGAAGTATTACGGAAATTATAAGGAGCGGAAGGACTACGATAGTAATATAATTAAAGGCCTAGGGCTATTTCTAGTATATTTCCTACCCGTATAAAGGTATTCGACGCTAACGAGAACAGCGCTATATAATCTAGCGTAGATATTTAAACTTAGCCTATAGTAACTATATCTAGCGGGGAACTAAGAGTACCTACTAGTATAGCGATAGGATAGCTAGCGAAAGAGTGTAAGGGCCGTATAAGAGCCCTTATAATAATAGGATTAATAGAGGTAGCTAGATTAACTAACCTTAGAGAAGGGAGTATAATATAACCTAACTACTTAGCGTAGGCTTAGCGCATATATAACTCCTACGTATAGCGCACATTTAACCTATAAGAATTAGTCTTATCTCTAATYRAGTAATTACGGRTGTCTAATAYATTRCTAYATCTTTACYCTTATAATTCTAATTCTTCTTCCTCTCTAAGGGTAGCGATCTATTAGACCCTAACGGAATAGCCCYTAGGCGCGCCGCCCGYRAAGCGACTACTCCCGAGTAGCGCTACGAAGAAGAACGCGTCGAAGAACTCCCTAACTACGGAGATRTCGAAGAAGTCGCTACCGTAGAGCCTATATAGCCTACTCTAGACGAAGAYACGATAGATTAYRGAGAAAACGAACGCGATAAGGAAGAGACGGCTAATAAGATAATCTAGCGCYTCGAAGGYRAGAAGCAGGCTCTATAGTAGTAAGAGAYRATTCGCTAACTTTAGTTAGAAGTCTAATAAATAAAGCGTAATCGTAACCGCGCCGACGTAGGCGTAGCTACTACTATACCCCGTCGCGGCGTGCCTACGCGCCTCTTATATAAGGAAGATCCGGATGCTATAAGTATCTCGAGTTTAAGCGTAGYATATACGCGTAGCGGAGTAGGCGTAAGACCTAAAATAAAGGATCCTAAACTATTCTTAGAGGATTCTATTAAAGAGGTATACGAATTCCTACGCTAACTTAAGATAGTCTTCGCTAATACTACTACTAGCCTAGAGAGTAACTATAATAAGGTCCTCTATAGCGTTATATAGCTAGGAGGAGACGCCGCGAAGTTATAGTATNTCTTCGCTAATACTACTACTAGCCTAGAGAGTAACTATAATAAGGTCCTCTATAGCGTTATATAGCTAGGAGGAGACGCCGCGAAGTTATAGTATAACGAGTATAATATCGAGGCGCTTATACCGAGCTATACGTAGGAGGATTTCTAATCGTTCGTACGTAATACCGTTAGGGACCCTACGAACCGCGCGCTTAGCGTTACGCTTAAGTACGAAAGGGTTCGATAGAGCTAGGATTAAACGGTAAAGTAATTCGCCCTTAAACTAGAAGTGCTAGAGAGTTAACTAGACTATACGTAAGCGCAGCTCGTACGTTAGTTTCTCGCTAAGCTAAGACTAGCTCTCCGTTAGGAGATTATTAAGTTATACTTTATACCTATAATAAGGATAGAGATAGTAGCGCTAGTAAGGCGTATTAAAGCAGYCGATAAGGGTACGAGCGTATAGCTTACGGGTACTAAGCGCGGTAATTATAAGTCTTAGGACTATAACCGTAGTAGTAGTAGACTACGTAAGAATACCTATAATCGTAATAAGGAACGCAAACCTAAGTCTAACCGTAGTAGCGAGTAGCCTTTACGTAAGCGTAAAGAAGGCGCCTATTTAGACCTAAAGTGCTCTAACTATAGCCGTACCGGCTATACTAATAAGATATATTAGGCTAAAGGCGGCGGCGTAGAAGGCTAAGGGCCGAGTAATACGCGGAGTRTTAGAAAGTGCAGTTATGGAATAGCTGTACATCTGACATAACAGAGAGCTAAGTAGCTACAAGGTCATATAACTCTATGTGGGGTAAAATCTCTTCTTAGGAGATAGAGACACATCTCGAGATAATCAACTTAATTAACACATTAGTTCCTACTTTTAAGTACTGCCTGTCGGAGACAGTAAGCTAGTTAAAGATCAAGTCACTCTTGTACTCCACCTCTAAAATTTCGCGAACCTCCGACCTACATCCACCCGGATATTTAATAGGTTATAAGCCCGGGTTTGCCGAAGGAAAAAGACCTTAACCTTAAAGTAGTAAAGGTATCTCCTACCTTATAAAGCTAACACAGAAAGGACACTAGTTTCTAGTACCCTATCTTACACTGCTAGGAGTTTTAACAGCAGGTTAGACAAGAAGAAAACACAGAAGACAGATTAGTTCCTAAGGGTTTAGAACATTTRACTATTAGGACTAAGGGATTGTCTAACAGCTATAAGGAGTAGAGGACTCTAAATCCAAAGCCTTAAAACACATACACACCCTTTACTTTACTACTAAAGCCTTAGCAGGACTAAGCTATTTATAWACTAAAATRGAGGAAGAGAAGGACAGTTAGACCTATATTAGGATTCYAATCCTAATAAGAGAGAACTRGAAAAGATRGTTTAAACTACAGAGGGACAACCTAGAAGGAAAAGGCATCTTCTAYAACATTAAGGGATTAATTAACCYAGACAATTTATTACTCCTTAATCTAGATGCTAGGGTTGCAAGAATAGCYAGCTAGCTAAACTTTTAAARGGAGAATRCYAAGTGCAGGTATAAGCTAAGATTAAGAGTTAGCTTAGATAAAGCAGATAAGATTTAATTATTAATAGATACAAAGATAGCTGCTAAAATGTAGCTCTTCCTCTAGAAGAAGTACAGCAAGGTACTTATAGCACATGCTATGTTAATAGTATAATAACTTATAAACTTCAGAATAGGAGAGGAAGATATAGTAAGGTTAGCCTAGGTACAGATTAGTTTAATAGCAAAGAGGATTGCAGAGGTTAATAAAARGGAGTTATATATAAAAGAACCTAAAAGGAAAATTAGGATCCTTCTTTTAGCACTCCCTCCTAAGTTTGAATTAACTAAGAATGCAATTATAGCCTAGCTAATGCTTGCTAGGAACTATAAACAGATCCTACTTATCCTTAAATCTTAGGAAGTAAGGGACCTCTATTATARGGAGGACTTYGYAATAGYAGCCTTTAGAAGGACAAGAACATRCTTCCTCTATAATAGACAACACTTTATAYAAGATTRTCTATAGCTRGAAAAGGCAAAGAAAGCAATTAGACCTTAGGAAAATTTCCTATCTAGAAAYAGGGATTCTCTAAAGCCTAAAAAGAGAAAGATCTCTAGYAAGAAATACTCCTCCTYTTTATTAAAGAGGGTTAAGAAAAGAAGAGACTCTCTTAAAGAATTTAAGAAGGCAATAGAGGAAATAATTAGAAAAGAGGTTTCTAAATTAAGGAAAAYAAGGAAGACTGCTAAGAAAGCATTCCTTRCTAAATAAGCYAAATCTAGGGAATTATCCCYAACCTTATTAAGTGCTACCTTATCCTAATTTAAGRAGGAAACTAATAAGATTGCAYATTCTTCTTTAGAGGCAAAAGGCAAGTTAACCTCCTTAGAATRGTTACTAGACTCCTGTGCCTTATCCTAYATAACTAACTAACTACAACTCTTTAGATCTATAATTCYACTTTAAAGGAAGAAATAGATTAAGGTTAGGGGTRGATAGCTAYAAGCTACAYATAAGGGAAAAGCAGTTATAGGAGGCTAGAATAGGAAGAAAATCTTRCTTAATAAAGTTTTGTTTRTACCTAATTTAGGAGTTAATCTTRTTTCTTAGAATTAGTTYAGCTATTAGTATAGTGTTTAACYACCCTAGTTTACTCTAGTRTTATAGGATAGAACTCCTRTTRTCYAGACTAGAATCYAGAATAGTGTTCTATTTATTTTAGAAGTTTTAGAGTCCCTCTAGGAGARGGCTCTTATTTYATTAGTAAAAGAAGAAAAGGAAG